CGGAGGTCAGGAGTTTGAGATTAGCCTGACCAACATGGTGAAACCCCGTCTCTACTAAAAATACAAAAATTAGCTGGGTGTGGTGGCAGGTGCCTGTAATCCCAGTTACTTGGGAGGCTGAGGCAGGAGAATCACTTGAACCTGGGAGGCAAAGGTGGCAGTGAGCAGAGATCGCGCCATTGCACTCCAGCCTGGACAACAAGAGCAAAACTCCTAAAAAAAGCAATGTCTTTCACTGTAATAAGCTTCCAATTTAGAGAATATTTTACTTGATGTGGTCCTTATGCCCATGGTACATTAGGTATGCCCTCATGAGATATAAGGGAACTAATAAGATGATGAGTTTACCTAGATGCCTACTTACCTCATTTTTACTCCTTAATCAAAGCAAAAGTGGGCCACACGGTGGCTCACACATGCATTCCTAGCACTTTGGGAGGATGAGGCAGGCAGATCACTTGACCCAAGAGTTTGAGATCAGCCTAGGCAACATGGGGAGGCCTCATCTCTACCAAAATATAAAAATTAGCCAGATGTGGTGGTGTGCGCCTATAGTCTCAGCCACTCAGGAGGCTGAGGCTGGAGGATCTTCCTGGGAGGATTGAGGCTGGGAGCCTGGGAGATTGAGGCTGCGGTGAACTGTGATCTTGCCACTGCACTCTAGCCTTGGTAACAGAGTGGGACCCTGTCCCAAAGGAAAAAAAAATCAAAGCAAAAGTAACTGAACTGAGCCCAAGTTGTCATTTGTATAATTATACTTCTAATCCCAGCCCACCTTCAAACTTAAAATCAAACTTAAAATTGACTATGTAGTTGGTGTTGCTGTTTAGTAGAAGACCACTAGGTCTTTTGTTGTTGTTGTTGTCATTGTGGTTGTTGTGGTTATGGGAAAGGCAAAGAAAATCAGGTCAGTTTTGGACATCTTGACATTTGAGGTCACTTTGATACTACAAATGGAAATAGTAACTTGGCAGTTGCATATATGGGTCAAGATCCCAGAAGTGAGTTATAGACTAAATATAACGATTTGAGAGTCCTTGGCTAAACAGATGGAAATTAAAATTATGAGCATGGATGAGATCACCTAGGGAGAGAGTACAGTTGGAAGAGAATAGAGACAAAAACTGAACCTGAGAAAAACACATTTAATAGTTAAGGACAGGGAGTAGGCTGAGAAGACAGATGTATAAACCAGAATAGGTAAGAGAAGCTTGGTTTCTGAATACCAAAAGGAAGATTATTTTAAGGACAGCGTGGTCAACAGCATCAAATGCTACTGAGAGTCATGTAAATAAAAAACTGAAGCCAGGCATGGTAGCACGTGCCTGTAGCCTCAGCAACCTGGGAGGCTGAGGCAGAAGGACTGCGTGAGCCCAAGGGTTTGAGACCAGTCTGGGCAACATAGCAAGACCCCATCTCAAAAACAAAAACTTAAAACTAAAAAATGTCCATTGCATTTAGCAACCAGAGGTTATTGATGGCATTAGTGAAAGCTGCTTTTGTAGAATGGTGGTGGCTAAATTCAGATATTAATAGTTTTTGGAGTGCTTAGGAAGTGAGGAGAGGGCATTAAGTACTGACAACCCTTGAGAAATTTAACCTTGAAAGGATGGGAAAGATTAACAGGAACATTTTAGGAAGCCAGTAAAGACGAGCGATCCAAGTAGTAATAGCATGCATATTAACTGTTAATTTAATTCCACAATAATTTGTTGATCACATGAAGGGCACAAGGCAAAGAACTGAGAATTGAGAGATGAGTAAGAAGCAATCCCTTCCCTCAGAGTGCTCGTGGTTTAGTGGGTGGGGGGGAGAGATGGATACATAATTATTGCATGGAAAGTATAATAATCAATGTATTAGATTTAGTAGTAGCATAGGTGAGAGCGAAGAGCATATTTATTAGGAAGGAGATCAGAGAAGACGTAGAAGTGACTTCTGTAAAAGGCAAAAGATTTATACGCTCTAAAAAGAAACAGAGGATTGACTTTTGAACTGAGTTATGAATTCACACGTGTTTGGTAGGATGACTATGAGAGAGAGACTCCAGGAAGAAGGAAAAGTATAGTTTTTTGGAAAACTACATGTAATCTTTAAAGACGGGGGGTTCTTGGAATCACATTGTCTAGATTTAAAACCTGCCTCTATCATTAGCAGCTTTGTGACCTTGGGTAATCACCACAGCTTTGAAAACCCACAATTTTCTCATTTATAAAATGAAGGCTGATAATTCCTACCTCAGGATTTTAGGGAGCCTTAAAAGCTGTGAAACTGAATTCAGTAGCTAGCATGCAGCAAGCCAATAATACATGTTAACTCTTGTTATTGTTAATTTAAAATGCAAAAAGAGTGGCAGGGTATGAAGCTAAAGAAGGTAATCAGGAGTCACATTATGGTAGATTTGTCAGGAAAGTTAGCACTGTTCCCAGCATTAATTAAAACAAACGAGGACAATTATTAGGAAACAGTTCAACTGAAGTCAGGCTTAAGTCTACTAAAAATAGTTTTCAGGAAGCATCTTAATTATAATCTCTTGTTGATGAAGCCTAAGGCAACAAGTATGTACAAGTACCTAATTAGGAGGCTGAGATTGCTAACCTCTAATTGTGCAATTTGCAAATTTTTTTTACATTACATTTTGTAACGCAATGCATTATTTTCCATTAATATTGGTGCTAAACTTCATTTTTCTAGTTTTTTTTCTTTATACATTTCATATTTTTAAAAATGAGTTGGTAATATGGTAATACTTCGATTTTATCACAAAAACCATTTCAACCCTACCACCAAAAACAACAAACAACACTGATCATGCCGGGCAAGATGGCTCATGCCTGTAATTCCAGCACTTTGTGAGGCCAAGGCAGGAGGATGGCTTAAGCCAGGATTGAGACCAGCCTGGGCAATACAGGGAGACTCCATCTCTACAAAAATTTAAAAAAACTAGCAGAGCATGGTGGTGTGTGCATGTAGTCCCAGGAACTTGGTGGGCTGAGGGGAGGATCGCTTGGCCCAGAAGATTGAGGCTGTAGTGAGCTATGATCCTGTCACTGCACTCCAGGCTGGGTGACAGAGACCTTGTCTCAAAATAAATAAATAACCTTGATCACACAGTGTAGCCAACCTTCAGAATTTTGGCAAGGGTATTTTAAGGGTAGAGTCAGACACCAGAAAAAGCTGCAGGTGGACCTGAGGAAATTTGCATGGGACCTATGACCCCTACCCTTTGACATAGTTCGAATTGATAAAAGTTTCTCTAGTCCCAAGAGCAAGCGATTTTTTTAGATTTTTATTTTGAGGAAGTCGTTTTCTCTGTAGGAGTTCAACTTCTCACTTATGTGAACAATATTCTTGTCATAGAAGGAATTTTTGTCATGAAAAGATAATTCGGGATCACTACTGTTTGGAGTATTTAATCTACTCTATTGAGTATTTTTGAAGTTAAAAAGATCATACAGATATCTTCACTTACGAATGAAAGGTTATAATCTTTCAGCCGACATGAGCTCTTGATTTTGTTGATATTGGGTATACTGTTAATGCTGATTTTGATATTTGGTAAGTACTGGTTTATGTTATATCCTGTGTGTGCCTCCATTTCCCTAATGTAGTCTGAGCCTGTAGATAACACCTTACTTTATGTCTAGTTGAATCAATGCTTCAAGATGTTTAATGCTCTCCGGGTTCATTTCTTGTGGTTGACTATACTTTCCATGGTAGGAAGTACTGAACTTCTGCTACTACTGTAGGTCTTATCTTTAGGCTTGCGGATGCTTAAGAAAAACACTGTGACGATCTAAGAGTGCAGGGCAAACCTTTTTTTTTAATTAAAAAAGTTTCTTTTAAGAGACAGGGTTTCACTCTGTTGCCCAGGTTGGGATGCAGTGGTGAGATGACAGCTCACTGCAGCCTCAAACTCCTGGGCTCAAGCAATTCTCCCAGATTCTCCCACCTCAGCTTCCTAGGTAGCTGAGACCACAGACGAACCACTGGCCCAGCTAATTTTTGCATTTCTTGTAGAGAAGGGGTCTTATTATGTTGCCCCTTCTCCATGTGGCTGGTCTCGAACTCCTGGCCTCAATCAATCCTCCTGCCTCAGCCTCCCACAGTGCTGGGATTACAAGTCTGAGCCACCGCACCCACCAGCAGAAACTTTATTTCAAGAGGCAACTTTGGATTTCAAGGTGACCTCCCCCATCCCGCCCACAGTAATATCTGTGACCCAGTAAACAATACAAGTGCCTATGACTGAATACAAAATTTCACCAAATAATATTTATTTCACTATTCGAGATGTGCCTGGTATCTCGTTTTCTTTCTTTTCTTTTTTTTCCTGGAGACAGAGGAGTGATCTCGGCTCACTGCAACCTCCGCCTCCCAGGTTCAAGCGATTTTCCTGCCTCAGCTTCCTGAGTAGCTGGAATTAGAGGCAGTTGCCATGACGCCCAGCTAATTTTTGCAATTTTAGTAGAGTCGGGGTTTCGCCATGTTGTCCAGGCTGGTCTGGAACTCCTGACCTCAGGTGATCCGCCCGCCTCGCATCCCAAAGTGCTGGGATTACAGACGTGAGCCACTGCGCCCCGCCATCTAACTCTATTTCATAGAAAACTGAAACCACCACACGCAACTGTACCCCTTCCAAGTAGAAACCAGCTAATTTGGTTTTACGAATCACTAAAGGGGTCACTAAACGCCGACTGAAAACGCTCTTCCAGCAGTCTTCGCTGCTGCTCCATCTGTCACAGCCCATCCGAAAAGCGGCGTTAGCAGCTGGGAAGGCCGCGGCCGGAAGCTAAGTCTCAGAGCCGCACTCGCGCTTCAGCCCGCAAGATGGAGCGTTTCCCTCCAGGGAAGCAGCGCCGCACCTATGCACAGCCTCGACTCGGTGGATGATGCAGGACTCGGCCCATTTCCCTGCCCTCCAGCTTTCTCAAAGTTAGCCCCGCCCCTTATCTTTCCTCGGCGAGTTTAGTTTCGCCCCGCCAAGTGGGCAGAGCGCCGAACGATCGATGCTTTCTTCAGTGCCCTGAGAGCCGCCATTTTTGAGGGCGGGGGAAGAGAAACAAGCAGCGGCGGCAGAGGCTCAATGGGATGCTGACTGGGTTTTGCTTCTCGTCCCAGCCCTGTGGGGCCGGGGCAGAAGAACCCATCAAAGCCCTTCCTCCGGCCGCCTCTCCGGAATGAGGTCTCAGCACCCGCGGGGGACAGCACCCTTCCTCCTGCCTGAGTGAGTGGCGACCTGCGGCGCGACTGCCGGGCGCCCGCGCGCGCCCCCGCGCGCCCCTTCGCTGTCAGTTACCCCGCGCGCCTCCGCCCCTCTCCCGCCGGCCTCGCGCTCGGCGCAGACTCGTTTGTTTGTTTCTGCAGGAGCCCAAGAAGAGGCCGAAACCGAGACCATGCCTGGGAAGCTGAAGGTGAAAATCGTGGCTGGGCGCCATTTGCCAGTGATGGACCGTGCAAGTGACCTGACTGATGCCTTCGTGGAGGTTGGTCCGGGGTCCTGTCCCTCAAAACACAGGGAGCGCCAAGCCCTGTGAAGGATCTACCCACCTCGCCCCCAGCCCCTCAGCCTATTCCCCCCTCGACTGCCCTCCCGTCGGCCGTGATTGTCCAGCTGTCCCACGAGGGATGACCGCCGAGACTTCAGTGCGTGCGATGGGTGCACGGCTTGCAGGCGTCCGCGGCACAGTCCGCTGCGCGGGGAGGCTTGTACTGTTCTGCATGCGGGGGTGACCCTGATGTCAGGACTCATTAACAGGCCACCTGCCACTCAGGAGATCCCAAGGCGTGGCCGCGCAGCCACCGACACACACACACACACACACACACATACACACACACACGAATGCCGGGGTGACTCTGATGTCAGGACTCATTAACAGGCCACCTGCCACTCAGGAGATCTCAAAGTGTGACCCCACAGCCACTGAAACACACACACACGCACACACACACACACACACACCCTTGGAAGGGATGGCCAGAGTGGTGGACATCATGTTTAAGAAGGTGCATGAATCCCTTTATGGGCACTTGGAGTCCCACAGTGCGTCCCACATGCCTAACATTTTGTGAATCTGCCACGCACGTTCTAAAACACAACTGTAACACTTCCTGCTCTTGCATAGACTGGTAGGTCTGATGAGGTGTTTCAGAGTAATTTAGCGCCTTGAGGTAGGAAGTCAATTAATTGCCATGGACTTAAATTGCAAAATTGCTTTTTAAGTCTAATGATTAGTTTAAAAGTCATGCAAATTAGTAAAGGCCTAGGGCTGGGAAGGTAATAACCCAGAGTCTGAAAGAAGCCAAGTGAAGATTGTAATAAAAATTGGAGTGATGAGCCAGAGCATTAGAGCAGTAATCATTTGGGCTATTAGTGCTTAGAGTTGATGGATAGATATATCATAATATATAGCCCGATTTCATCTCAATATTCCTGATGTTTCCTAAGTGTTCTCTAACCTAATAATTGCAGTTCACTGCCCCTCCTCATTGTCATGGTGATTCTTAATCACTTCATTGGAGAAAGTTTTTGAGTGCTGTTGTGCCAGATGTTAGGTAATAGGAATCCACAAATAACTGAAGCATAGTGTTTGCTTTCCGGTAGTTCAGACATCGACCCACACAGCCTATTTAATAATTAATAGGTAACGTGTTGAATTTAGTAATTGCCTGATCTGTGCTAAGTACTTTTAAATTCTTAGTTTTCACAACAGTCCTACTATAGGAGTATTGTTATTGTCCCATGTTACGGTTGAGGTAACTGAGGCCCAGGAAGGGTAAATAATTTGCTTAAGGTTACATAGCTTGCAAACCTCCATAGCCTGACAGTTTGTTCTCTTAACCGCTCTGCTAATACAGCCTCACCAGACAAAGTGATGAGTATTGTATTAGAATATGGAAACAATTGTCTCTGAAGGTTGAGGAAGGCTTGCTGTGAAAGTGACATTTGAAATGGGCCTTGAAGGACACCCAGGATTTTACCGGGCAAAGGGAACATCAAAGGCAGGCATAGGATGGGATATATAGTAAGTTCAGGAAACTGCCTTAGTTTGGTATGTGTCTGGAGGAAAGGGTATGAGATATGTGGGTAGTGGAGCTTGTTAAGGATGAGGCTGGAAAGCCCTATTTTCTATGAAAACCTCCTTTTCTGTAGTATTTATAAGGAGAGACAAGGAAGCTTTTTTTTTTTTCTTTCTTTCTTTTTTAAAGACAAGTTTTATTCTGTTGCCCAGGCTGGAATGCAGCTCACTGCAGCCTCCAACTCCCGGCCTCAAGCCATCCTCCTGCCTCTCCCGCTTCAGCCTCCCAAAGTGCTGGGATTATGGACCTGAGCCACCACACCTGGCCAGGGGAGTTTTTAAAGCAGAAATAAAATAAGATCATGTTTGTATTAGTTTGTTTCTTTATAGGATGGCCTGAATGGGGATGCTATTGATGGACTAGACAGATGGGAAGTGAGGCAGGGAGATCAGTTAAGAAGGTGGTAAAATTATCCAGGTAATATGTGGGAATGTGCATAGGAATGGATTTGAACAGGAAGATTTGTGGGACATTTCTTAGGTTAAAATTGTCAGGCCTTGATAGTTACGTGGATTTTGCTGGTGATGAAGGGGCTGATTCACAGGTTACTTACTACTTCCTTCTTTGAACAAATTGAGTGTCGGCTGTTTGCCAGGCTCTGGGCTAGTCACTGGTCTAGCTAATGGATAAACATGGTGAGTAAGACAGACTTGGTTCCTGCTCTTAATGCAGCTTATATTTTAGTAGGAGAGACAGATAAATTTAAAGGTAAATAAGGTAAATAAATTTTAAATTTATTTAAAATTATTTAAATAAAAAGGTAAATAAATTATTAAATATATAGTTACAAATTGGGATGGGTGCCATGAAAGAGAACAATAGAAAGAGAACAACAGGGAACACCTACTTTAGGTTGAGTTATCAGGGGAGGTCCCTGAGAAAAGTGTTTGTCAAACCCAGGATCTGCTGGATGAGAAGGAGCCTGCTGCTGAGGGAGCATATTTGTGTGTGTAGGGGAGTGGGTGGACAGAAGGTAACCCGGATATCTCATGTCGAGATTTGGTGTGTTTTAGGAAGTGAAGGAAGATGCCTGTGGCTGTCACATAGTCAGTGAAGGGAAGAGTAGTGTAAGATAAAGTTGGAGAGTTAATCAAAGAGCCAGTCTTGCAAGGACTAAGGCCATGATTAACAGTTTGAATTTTACCCTAAATTCTTTGAAAAGCCCTTGTTAAGATGAGCACTGTTGTTATATGGAGAATGGATTGAAGGGGAAAGAGTAGAAATCAGGCAGTTAGGAGATTCTGTAATAGTTCAAATAACAGGTGATATGGGCCAAGGTGATGGATTTGATAATGCAGACAAGTGGATGAATTCCAGGTGTATTTTGAAGATAGATTAAAAGATGACTCCTAGCTTTCTGAAGTATTGGGTTTTCTGAAACTCCATGGAGATGGTAAAGATTGAGGTGGATCATTTTCCATTTCAGCATGTTAGGTTTGTGATGTCTGTAGGGCCTTTAATTGGAGATGTTAAGGAAGTGATTTATGACTGTGGCATTCAAAAAAAAAAAAAAAGGTCTGAGTAAAAATGAGGACACGAGCCAGTGTTTCTCAAGTCCTGTGAGACCCAGGACTCCCTTTAGATAGCCCGTATTTTACCCTTTCTATCCTGGCGTGATACTTTTTAGTTAATATATCCTGTGTATTCTTACAATTAAAAACAAACCAGTACCATGGTCTAACTATGACAGAGAAATAGAAGTTGTTGTTGTTGTTATCAACATTATTTTTTTTGAGACAGTCTTGCTCTTTCACCCAGGCTGGAGTGCAGTGGTGTGATCTTGGCTCACTGCAGCCTCCGTCTCCTGAGTTCAAGTGATTCTCCTGTCTCAGCCTCCAGAGTAGCTGGGATTACAGGCGCTCGCCACCACGCCCTGCTAATTTTTGTATTTTTTAGTAGAGACGGGGTTTTGCCATGTTGGCCAGGCTGGTCTCAAACTCCTGACCTCAGATGATCCACCTGCCTGGGTCTCCCAAAGTTCTGGGATTACAAGTGTGAGCCACCGTGCCCGGCCTGTTGTTATTATGTTAATATGGAAGTACTTTTTCATGACCATAATAGAAAACATGAGGTAATCAGATGAATCAATGAATATTTATTCAGCCTTTGTATGTATTAGACACTACTGGATGCTGGGGCTATGGCAGTAAATTTAAAAGAACTTCAGTCATGGAACTTACATTTTAGTGGGAGAAGAGAGTTCATAAATAAGGTAATTAAGTAAAAAATATAGTATACTGGATCAATGAATATTTATTTGACCTTTGTATGTATTAGACACTGTACTGGATACTGGGGCTATAGCAATAAATTATAAAAACTTGAGTCATGGAACTTACATTTTAGTGGGAGGAGAGAGTTCACAAATAAGGTAAGTAAATAAAAGATATAGTATGCTGGATGTTGAGAAATGCCCCATATGGAGAAAATAAAGCTGGGACACGGAATAGGCAGTGCAGCGCCTATGTGAAAATCACGTGAATATAACTGCTTCTCAAACAGAGCGAGACAGTTGTGTAGTTTTGGCATCTCAGATCTTCATTGCCATTGGTTATCTGATTTTTCAAAATAGTCAACTCATGGGAAAAAGCAGAGTTGCCTCTTGATTTACATGATGGTTGTAGTTCTTGACAATTATGTACACTGAAACCCGATTGTAATACTTTTATCTGTAAAACTGAGGTTCTAGGTAGGTTTTTTTTTTCTTTCTTTCTTTTTTTTTTTTTTTTGAGACAGAACTTTGCTCTTGTTGTCCAGGTCGGAATGCAATGGCGCTGTCTCAGCTCACTGTAACCTCCGCCTCCCAGGTTCAAGCGATCTTCCTGCCTCAGCCTCCTGAGTAGCTAGGACTACCGGTACACCACCATGCCTGGCTAATTTTTTGTATTTTTGTAGAGGCAGGGTTTCACCATGTTGGACAGACTGGTCTTGAACACCTGACCTCAGGTGATCTACCCGCCTTGGCCTCCCAAAGTGCGGGGATTACAGGCATGGGCCACCGCACCCGGCCTTCTAGGTAGGTTTCTTACCCATGTGATTGTCTAGTGGGACATTTGAAAATCATGACATGGTAAAAGTCTTCATTGTTGGGAACTCACTTGCATTGAAGGATACCTAGCATTTCTGGCCCTTCTTCACTTAATGCAATTACTATTTTCCACAAAAACACTGCTAGAAATTTCTAAAGCTTCTTTAGGAGTTGGTTCTGTCTTTTTGCAAACCCGTGACTTAGGGGAAGGGAGAGAAACAGGATGAATCCTTGAAAAAACTTGTTATTAAGAGGTTTATTAGAGGAGGAGGACTAGGGGAAGGAAACTGAGATTGTGAGCCAGTGGGTGGGAGAAAAATGGGGAACATAATGTCTTAGAACGCAAAAGAGGAAGTTTCTTTAAAGAGGAAGCTCAACTGTCAGATGTTACTGGGGTCAAGTAAGAAGACAGAAAAATTATTGGATTGGACAACATGGGGGTGTGACAAGAGGCATGATGAGAATGGAATCCCATCCTGTAGTGATTTAAAGAGAATTAAAGTACATGGGAAGTGAGGAAGTAGAAAGAGCATGAATAGGCAACTGTTTCAAGGTGTATGGCTATGAAGGGGGAAGGAGAAATAGTGTGGTATTTAAGAAGTAGTTTTAGTACTTAAAAAATAAATGAAAAGATGCAGAAACTATTTGTGTGCTAATAGGAATAATCCCGTAGAAAGGGGAAAAATTAATGCAGGAAAAGGGGGATAATGAAAGATTACAATATGATAAAGGGAAAAATGCTTGATATAGACTAAGTTCATAGAAGAGGGAGATAATGAAGTGTGGGCTAGTCATGAGAAACCTTTATCCTGGGCCTGGAGGATGGTAAAATTTCCAAAGGCAGAGAGAAAAAGGAAGAAAAAATTTTCAGGTGACTAGCACAAACTTGATAAAAGCAAAAGAAGAAATAGGGTATGTATCGATGTAATTGAATGTATTTCAATTGAATGAATTTCATTCATATGTAATCGGAAGGAGGATTCTTGTTGAACAGAAGTGGGAAATAAATCTGGCTAGGAAAGGGGGATACAGATTACTGAATAGTCCAAAAATTAGGAGGAGAAGTCTATACAGTTGAAGCTCTCTTAACAACTTCCATTAACTGACTCATTGCAATCCTCAGTGCTCTGCATTCCTTCCATAAAGCGTATTCATAAATACTCCTCCGGGTAAGACTACTCTAGTGTGCCTGGAGTTTCCCATCAGTTGGCTGATATACTTTACCAAGAGGCAGTTGTGTTTATTCCCAAATCTGCTTATGTCAACTGTATTTGTTACTATATTTTATTTAAAGCTTATATAAATCAGTGAATGTAAAGACATGGAAATGGTCACTAAAAATTGCTCTTGAATTAGGTGGAGAAAAGATTGTTAAAAATAGAGGATTAGTGAATGTAAAGACATGAAAATGGTCACTAAAAATTACTCTTGAATTAGGTGGAGAAAAGATTGTAAAAAATAGAGTATTCTTTGTTCATGCTTTTTAAAGTATTTTATTTCCCAAACTGGAAATCAGAGATGACTGTGGCTTATGCAAAAAAGATGACTAAACGGTTGACTTTTACGCAAAGAAAAAGTCTTAGCCTTAAATTAAAAGACAGGAATGAATGTTTGTTTATATGTTTTATCTTAAAATGTTTACAGTTTGTATTATTTTTAGTGATCCTCTAATTTAACCAAGTTATTTGATTAACTGATCAAGTATTGGTCCTGGTTGCATTGATTGAGAGAATTTCCACTATATATGATGTCAGGAGTGTAGGGACCCAGCGAAGACCAAGTAATACTTAAAGATGATTAGTCTTGCAGGAATCTCTAGAGTGAGATGGGGTTCTGTATAAGGGAAGTATTAATGGAAATATATCTCAATATTAACGTGTGTTACCAATTGTTTGGCCAAACTGCATTGTCATCTTGTGTTTTTCTAGGAACCTTTGAGGGAACAGGGAGAGGAAAATAAATATTTAATGAATATTTCCTGCGTACATACATTTTGCTAGGTCTCTACATGTGTTATATCATGTAATGCTCACTTAACAATCCCACTTTTCAGAGGAAGAAGCCAATTTAAATAACAGATTAATAACTTTCTCAAGGTAATTTAGCTAATGAGTAGGTAAAGAGAATGCTTTACTTTACTGGGGAAGATCTCCATTAAAATCCCTGATGTTCCTTAACAAAGTTATAAGGCATTCATTTAATTGCTGAGTAATAAAATGTCCTTTTAATTAAATAAGACTAAGTGAACCGAGATTCTCCTGTGCTAGAATGAAAATCATCCAATGTTGGCAAAATACACACTCCAGCCTTTTTCTTTTTGTTTCTTGTCCTTTATTTACTTGTTTGAGAGACTGGGTCTTGCTCTGTCACTCAGGCCTGAATGCAGCCGCCTTGAACTCCTGACTTCAAGCAGTCCTCTTGCCTTAGCTTCCTGAGTAGCTGGGACTGCAGGCACGCACCACCCTGCCTGGCTGATGCCTTTTCCTTTTTTCTAAAGTCTTTTTTGTTTGTTTAATGCAGTTTGTGGGCTATCAGATCTTTATTTAGAATGAACAGTTGCACAACAACAAAAAGGCACAGTATAGCAAAACTGTTATAGTGGGACAAAACTGTAGAGTGCTTTAAATTTGTCACTTAAAAAATCATGTGCTACTTTTGGCAGTTGAGCCAAAACCCTTAAGTATATTTGGCTTTTGAATGATTTTGAATGTTTTTATAAATCCTAACAGTATTTTACTTCATATAAAGCAACTTTAGATAAATTAGACAGTAAGTATTTCCATCATGCCTTGAATATTGAAATGGAATGAAAATTAAATTAGTAATTAAGCAAGAACCTCTATTCTCCCTAAGTTTTTCCTTATTAAGTTTCATTTCTTTATTGTTGTGATTTTAAAAATTATGCAAGTAATACTTGAATGCTCCCCATTAAAAAAGATTCAAACACTCAAATATAACTTGAAAACCCCTTACTTTCTTCTTACAACACTGTACTCTATTCCCTACACCCGATCAGTCCCTTCTACAGAGATAATTGCTGTCAGTTCTTTGGTTTATGTTAATCTTTTCTTCATCCCCTTAAAAAAATACTTGTATATCTATATTGCATTTTTAGAAACAAATATAATCCTACTTTATATATTCTGCTACTTGTTTTTTCAGTTATTGTGTAATTAATATCTTCTCATGACAGTATGTATAATCGACTCCATTCTTTATAAGGGCACATGATTTATTCAGTCACTTTCCTGCTGAATGACTATATTTTTGGTGGGGAGGAGGGGGGCTTATGTGAAAGTACTTCTGTAGGTTAAAATTCCTGGAAGCAAATCTAGGATTCTGCAATTTGAATGAACATAAAGTTATTGCCATTTGAATTTTAATTTTTGCTGTTTTTTAATTTTAAAATAATGCATTTAAAATAGGTAGTATCATGCATGGTTCAAAATTCAAAAGGTACAAAATGAGTCAGCTTCTCTCTCCCAGCCTTTCCTCTGCTCTTTCTAGTGACCACTGTTACTATTTCTTGTATATACTTCTAGAAATATTGTGCACATATATAGACATATACTTATTATATATAATTTTTTTTTTTTTTTTTTTTTGCTGAAGAATGCCATATATCTGCAGTAGAAAGGTGTATCTTGGAAGTTGTTCCTTATCAGTGCATGGAGAACTGCTTTATTCTGTTTAGTGCTACATTGTGTTGCTTTACCATAAATTTAGTTAGTTCCATATTAATAGATATTTAGCTTGTTTCCAAGCTTTTGCTACAGTAATGCTGCTGGTATATGCCATTGTGTACCTCTGTGGGATAAATTCTAAGAAATAGAATTGCTAGCTTAAAAGGGATTTAAGGCATTTAAAATTTTGGTATATGTTGTCAAGTTGTTCTCTGTAGAGATTTTTCTACACTCCTACCAGCAAAGTATGACAGTACCTCACGAATTCTGTGTTCAAACCTTTTGATCTTTGCCAGCCTGATAAGTAAAAATATTTTAGTTTGTATTTCTTAGTGTGAATGAGGTTGATCATCTTTTGATGTGGTTAAAGACAGCTGTATTTCCATTTCTGTGACTTGTCTGATCATATCCTTTGCCTATTTTTTCTATTGGGTTGTTGATCTTTTATTGCTCTGTACGTGCTCTTTAGAAATGGGGGAAGTTAGTTCTTTGTGATGTGTGGAGCTGGTCAAGCAGAACAGTGGGTAATCCCTTGTTGTGGGTATAGTCTACAAGCTTACCTGGATCCATCTGTACTTTCTTCCCTTTGTCTCAGAGGATAATAGTCTTTTGTCGCCTTTATGGTTAATCCTTCTATTGGTTGGCTGACATTAATATTTACTTTTATTCACATTTTTGATATTTATATGTGAATAATTTCTTATTCATTTTTAGGTAAAATTTGGTAATACCACCTTTAAAACAGATGTGTACCTTAAGTCACTCAACCCTCAGTGGAACTCGGAGTGGTTTAAATTTGAGGTAAGTTTTTAAATGTCAACATTTTTTAGTGTATTTTTTTGAGGTGAATCTTTTCCCTCAGGAATAATGAGAACCTTTTATTTCAGGCATAGTAGTATTTCTACATCATAAAAATATTTTCTTTTCTGCTTACCTAGGAATATTGAGTATAAAAATGTTATATTACATTTAAGAAAATATAGTATATGATAACACATGAACAAAAGAAGTCCTCAAATGTATTATATTATTATTATTATTGTAGTTTTCTCTAAATTTTAGCATATACCAAAAATGACTTAAGAATAATATATGGATTAAAATAAATTTTTTAAAATTGCAGTACTATATATTGTGAATATTGCCATTTAAATCATTTGTAAGTGTACAGTTTGGTAGCATTAATTACATTCACAGTGGTTTGCTACCATCACCACTATTTCCAGAACTTTTTCTTTACCCTAAATTGAAATTGTGTACCCACTAACCAATAACTTCCCATTCTCTCCTCTCCCTAGACTCTGGTAACCTCTAATCTACTTTCTGTTTCTTTGAATTTGCTTATGCTAGATATTTCATATAAATGGAATCATATAATACTTGTCCTGTTGTATCTGCTTTCTTTTACTCAGCATAATGTTTTCAGGGTTCATCCACACTGTAACATGTATCAGAATTTTATTCCTTCTTATGGCTGAATAATATCCCATCGTATATGTATGCCACATTTTATTTTCTAATTGAGTTATTTTTGTTGTTGAGTTGTAAAAGTTCTTTATGTATTCTGAATATTAACTTATTATCAGATATATAATTTGCAAATATTTTCACTCATTCAGTAGGTTGTCTTTTTACTTTCTTGATAATTTTCTTTGATGCACAGAAGTTTTTAATTTTGATGAAGTCCAATATATTTATTTTTGTTTTGGTGTGAAATGAAAGAATCCATTGTCAACTCTAAGGTCATGAAGATTACCCCTATGGTTTTTGTAAGAGTTTTATGGTTTTAGTTTTTATGTATAGGTAATGGATTCATTTGGAGTTACTTTTTATAATGGTGTTAGGTAAGAGGCCAGCTTCATTCCTTTTTTTTTAAAGACAGAGTCTTACTCTGTTGCCCAGGCTGGAGTGTAGTGGCGTGATCTTGGCTCACTGCAACCTCCGCCTGCTAGGTTCGGGTGATTCTCCTGCCTTAGCCTCCCTAGTAGCTGGAATTACAGGCATGTGCCATCATGCCTGGCTAATTTTTTTGTATTTTTAGTGGAGATGGCGTTTCACCCTTTTGGCCCGGCTGGTCTCGAACTCCTGACCTCAAGTGATCTGCCTGCCTTGGCCTCCCAAAGTACTAGGATTACAGGTGTTAGCCACTACGCCTGGCCCCAGCTTCATTCATGTATGTCGAAATTCATACATGTAGAAATTCAGTTGTTTGGGCACATTTGTTGAAGAGACTGTTCTTTCCCCATTGATTGGTAGTCCACACAGAGACAGGAGGTGGTTATGTTCAAATGGCTCATGGCCTGGTGATCTGAGGGGATTTCTCCAAAAGGGGAGCCTCCCATCTCCTCACCCAGGTTTCTTTTCATTCCTCCCATCTTCCCACTTGTGCTTCCTTCCTTGAGACACTTGAATGTAGAGGTCCCTATCACTCATGTTTTCCTCTTGTGCTCTTCTTAAGAAGTCCATTGTGTTACTGTTAGCATGTCTGTTTTGTGTTGCACCCAGCCACCTCCCTGCAGTTTCTGCTCTCTTTCTCGCTGTATCTGTTTATTTTTTCATGCATTGATTTGGTCTGTCGGCATGCCCCAATCCTCCAAGAGATTATAGGGACTTTACTAGGCTTTGGGATCAACAAGGCGACATACAAAAGGAGATACAATTCTCACTTACAGACTGCTTATTATAGCCCAGGCACTGGTGAAGTGCTTTACATGTGTTAACCTCATTCAGTTCTCACAATGCCGTGAAGGCACCTTTATTTACTTATTTATTTTTGAGATGGAGTCTCACCCTGTCACCCAGGCTGGAGTGCAGTGGCGTGATCTTGGCTCACTGCAAACTCTGCCTTCCGGATTCACGCCATTCTCCTGCCTCAGCCTCCCGAGTAGCTGGGACTACAGGCACCCACCACCACGCCCAGCTAAGTTTTTGTGTTTTTTAGTAGAGACAGGGTTTCACTGTGCTAGCCAGGATGGTCTCGATCTCCTGACCTCGTGATCCACCTGCCTCGGCTCCCCAAAGCGCTGGGTTTACAGGTGTGAGCCACCACGCCCGGCTGGCACCTTTTATTTTAAGATGACTCAGAAGTCCAACCCAGAGCTAGCTAAGTGGTAGAGTAAGGATTCAGACCAAAGTCGGCCTGACTCCAAAGCTATTACCAGGTCACCACACCTCCATCTTACATTCTCCCTTTCTACCCACTCCCCTTCCCAAATTAAACATCCTTGTCAGTTATTGTTCCCTGTGCCAGCAGTGTTTTCCTTGCTTTTTTAATTCTTCTTCACTACTATATCCTCAACCCCCAGAAGAGCATGTAATAGGCTCTCAGTAAATATTTGCTACACATATTGCCCATTTCTCTGATAACCACTTCCTTCACCTTTCAGCTGCAAGAGAAATTTTCTTCTTTGGAATTTTCTTTGGACTACTTAAGAACCTTGTGAGGACCAGTTTGGTTTTTCCTCCCTGCTATTTCATGCCAGCCCTTATATTGGGCAGCACTGTGGCTGCTGTGCCTTTTCTGAGGCCTCTTTCATAACCATTATGGAGCCTGGGTAAAGTTTAGCTCTTGCGGGGTAAGGTGTCATTCTTCAGTGAAAGAGAACAAGGGAAGAAAAGTATTGGGTTGCTTGAAAGACGCTTTGATCATGCTGGGGAACCTGCCAAACACATACCTGAAGATGGAAGAAATAACACTAGGATGTTTAGGCACTGCTTTGCTTATGGTTTATATTAGGACCGTGATCTCTCTTTTAGTGTTGGAAGGCACATTCAGTAGTGGTTGGGATACTGAGTAGCAGCCCTCTATTGGAAAAGCTTAAAGGTCTGGATTAAGAGAAAACACATTCTATTTCTGGTACCTGCTAATTTGCAGATGACCTCAGACAGCCTTACCATTTGGAGCCTCTGTTTTTTTCAAATGTGAATCCTTTCCAGAGTAGTATAGAGGTGGCTATGAAGCATGTTGTATGTTAATATGAGTTGCACTAGTCAAAAAAAAGAGACTTTTGTGTATGTGTATGTGTGTGTATATATATGTATATATATATTTTTGTTTTGTTTTTGTTTTTGAGATGGGATTTCCCTCTTGTTGCCCAGGCTGGATGGCAGTGGTACGATCCTGGCTCACTGCAACCTCTGCCTCCCGGGTTCAAGCGATTCTCTTTCCTCAGCCTCTCGAGTAGCTGGAATTAACACTCATGTGCCACCACATCCTGCTAATTTTGTATTTTTAGTAGAGACGGGGTTTCTCCATGTTGGTCAGGCTGTTCTCAAACTCACGACCTCAGGTGATGCACCTGCCTCGACCTCCCAAAGTGCTGGGATTACGGGCGTGAGCCACTGTGCATGGCCCAGGAATAATATTTTTAAATCACTCAGCATTTTGGATAGGCATTCGGTGTTTGGCAGAAAGTGGGTTTGAATATTAGCATTTTGGGGTATATTTTCTGTTCTTTCATTAATGTATAGTTTAGTTAGTCCGAGTGGCATAGGTGTGCTGAAAAAATAGAGCTGCAGTTTGAAAAGATTTTGTTACCAAACTTAATCTCAGTTTGTATAAGAAAGGTGTACCTCATCTATAGACTCAGAGCATTTATGGGCAGTGACAGCTTTTATTTATTATCTCTGTGGAATATAACTGTGTTTCTCAAAATTACTACCTCATCGGAGTAGCTTGGCTGTGTCTCAGTCTTCTACCAAAAAGACTCAGTTATAGAAACTGTTATTCTTAACCTCCCAGTAGCTTTCACCGAAAGGTTTTCAAGCAGATGGATCTCTCTAAGGAAGATAATTCCTGGTTTCTGTAAACTCCTCCTCTTTTAAACTGGACTTCCATGTTATCTGCTAGAACATTGAACTGGAGGTCAGTAAATTTTTTAGGACTTTACCTTTGAGGCGAGTTAAAAAAAAAATCAGTTGGACATAGATGTGAGGATTTATTTCTGGACTCTCAATTCCATTTCATTGGTCTATATGTCTGTCTTTATACTATTACCATACTGTTTTGATTACTATAGCTTTGTAGTGAGTTTTGAAATCCAGATGTGAGAGTCCTACAAGTTTATATTTTTAGTTGATATTTTCATCATGAAATATTTTGATTCTCTTCTCATTTTCTTTTATGTTATGTACAGATTTTTCTTTTAGCTGTTTCTAAAATGCCACTATGTATTTTGAAAGACCTGTTGCACATGTATTCAGTCTATTGTGACATTTTAAACTACATTATTAAAGATGTGGAATATATGAGTCAAAAAATAATTGGAGTACCTTCCTTTTATGATTTCAGATGGAATTAGAATTACAGCATCTATCTTCATTACCCAAGCAAAACACTGGAATGTTTATATAGTTTATTTTGATGGCCTTTCCCCCAACTATAACCTAGAAATTGTTAAAAACAAATAGTTTTAAATACATTGTTATTGAAATGATGGGAGGAGGCAAGCTTCATATGTCGGAGTAATTTTCACGATACTAGGAAATATTAAAAAAGTGATATTTCATTTTAATGATGATGGTAATAAACTGATATTTTTTAAAGCTAATGAGTACTCAAGCAACTTACTTAACAGTATGAAAAATAATATACTTACTTTCTGAAATAAGGGATTTACCAGGCAGTTCCCTTAAAATTTAGTAAGTTAGTGGCTGGGTGCAGTAGCTCACGCCTCATCTCGGCACTTTGGGAAGCCGAGGCACGTGGATCACCTGAGATCCAGAGTTCAAGTCCAACCTGGGCAACATGGTGAAACCCCGTCTCTACTAAAATACAAAAATTAGCCAGGTGTGGTGGTGCGCATCTGTAATCCCAGCTATGTGGGAGGCCGAGGCCTGAGAATCGGTTGAACCTGGGAGGCAGAGGTTGCAGTGAGTCAAGATCACACCATTGCACTCCAGCCTGGGTGACAGAGTGAGACTCCGTCTTAAAAAAAAAAAAAGACATTTAGTAAGTTATTGTTTTGACTAGTCTTCCTGAATAATGTGTATGCTGTGAAAAATGTATTTAAAACTTTGTGTTTACAGTTAACATTGATTATGTAGTACTTTTAAAACCCTTTTTAAAATCCTGTTTATCAGTTGTTAATTGCATTCAGTTTTTTATATATATATATATTCAGTTGTATAGATATATACACACACAGTTGTGTATATATACAGTTTATATATATACACAGTTGTGTATGTATATATATACAGTGTATACAGTTGTGTATATACAGTTGTATATACATATACATATATATACAGTTGTATTATACAGTTATATATACACAACTATATATATACAACTGTGTATATATGTACAGTTATATATATACACAACTATATATACACAACTGTGTTTATATATACAGTATATATATACAGTTGTGTGGAGATCTATATATATATATATATATATAGCACTCAAATAAATGTCTTAAGCAAAATAGATGTTTTTATCTTACATGAAAGGAATGTTGTACTAGGCAGTGTAAGGGTAGTATGGTTGCTCCACGCAGTCATTTTGGACTCCATTATCTATACATAGCCTGTGGCTTCTCTTAAAATGATTCAAGGTCCTTTTGGCTCCAGTTTAGCACCTGGAGTTCCAGTGAGCACATGAGTATTCCAGGCTGGCAGACGGAGCTAGAGTGAAGGGGAGTCCAGGAGGAGGAGCTGATGAGTTAACATAACACTTTCAGATGAGCAAGCCTTCTTTAACAAGTTTGCACCCTCCCTACCAAACTCTGTGTAATGATTTATGCTTGTATCACATTTAGTTGCAAGGGAGGCTAAGAAATGCAGTATTTTAGCAGTGCATATTGCTAATTTAAACATTTAAAACATCTCTCAGAAAGTCCTAATTTATAATATTTTGGGATTCCAGAGAGGCTGCATTTACTCTACTAAATATTCTTAATTACTTCATTATAATTAATTCTTGAATTTCCCTATTCATATTAGTCATATTATTAGCTATCTATGTATGTATCACAAGCTATATTTAGTCACTTAGTTGTTAGTTTAGCGCCCCCTAATGTCAGGGAAGGGATACCTTAGTGTACCATGAGAAAAAATGATAATACTCAGGGGTGAATGTACAGGTGGTTAAATAAGTATATACAGAGAGTATTTTTAATGGAGTTAGAAATGGGGAGAAATGTCTTGGAGTAATGGTTAGTGGTTTGTTTTATGATTCTTTCTCTTTTATTAAATGTATACATAACAGAATAGTACTGGAGAGAATGCCATTGGATGACAGATGATTCGGAATGGGTTGGGATTCAAAATGATCATTTTATTTTAACATTTCATTATGGAAAATTTCAAGCATGCATAAAGGTAGATTAGTATATTAAACCTCACCTACCTTTAACAGCTGTCTACATTTTACTGTTCTTGTTTTGTCTTTTTAACTCCCGCCCACCCCAGTTTTCCTTCTAGGGGGGATATTTTAAGGCAAATTTGAGATGTTGTATGATTTCATCTATAAATTCCAAATTATATACCTCTTATAAAGAAGGACCCCTTATAAATAAACAAAACCGTATCACATTGTCACACTAATGGTATCAGTAATTCCTTAATGTACTTTAATTCTTAAAATAATCTTCAGAGGCTGGATTATTAGCTTAACATTAACAAGAAATTAAATAGGGGATAGGGAAAGGCACAATGTTTCATATCCAAGTTTAAAAAACCAACCAAAGTATATGGGTTGTGGAGTTATCACTTGACCAAAGCATATGTAAGAGTGATACAGAGATTGTAGCCAACCGCAGGCTCAATCTTAATAGTGTGGTATGTCTGATGTAAAGAACATCCATAGACTGCATTTTAAAAGTGTAATTTTCTTATTAGAGAAAATAATCCTTTTGCATTCTGTCCCAGTCTTAATACTGTCTATAATACGTTCCCTTCTGGCCACTTTATTGGATGAAGGGGACTGGCAAATTAGATAATGGCATGATATCCAGACGGTGGCAGCCAAAATAGTGAATGTGTCTTCCGTGAGGGAGAAATCGTTTTGCACTGTTCTCCATTGTAAATCCCTCCGTTGGGCCCAGTGTTTGGCATATGATAATAACTCGATAATGACTAAATAAAAGGGGAAAGGGTAGACGTTTATATCATGAACTTAATTTGTGAACTTACTTAATTTGTGAATTTGTTACACATAATGTTACTTATGTGTAACTACACATAACTTACGCATAATGTTAGTTTCTTACACATAATGTTTCTTACACATAATGTTAGTTTTCCTTATGGTTTTGTTCTCTGAAATCACCCTTAGAAATTGTGGTGTCATTGTACTCAATTAGCATTCTTCTCTCTATAGATACTACATGAACTCTAATATGACATTCCTTAGGCACTTTTGCTGTATATCATAGGCAAAGTTGTAAAACACAGAATGATATGTACAAAAATTGAGATATAACTTTTTTTGTTGTTAGTCATCCCACTCTTGTGCTGAGAGATAAACTTTTTTTCTTTAGAAAGATGAGATATTGTATAGGAAAAGGAGATATAACTTTTTGTGTGTTAATTCTTTTCTCTACTTTGGTGCTTAGAAATCTGTAAGATTTTATTTGCAGATGGTCATCCTTTTCGTTTGATATAGGTGTACATTTGTGATAATTAAGATTTAAAAACTATGTGAGATTTAATTTTAAGGTATGCTTTTAGGTGGATGATGAAGACTTACAGGATGAACCTTTACAGATCACAGTTCTTGACCATGATACTTACAGTGCAAATGATGCCATTGGTAAAGTGTACATTGATATTGATCCTTTACTGTATAGTGAAGCTGCAACAGTCATCTCAGGATGGTTTCCAATTTATGACACCATACATGGTAAGGAATAATAAGAAAGTATTAAAAATAACAATCTTAATCTTTTTTACTTGTCTTTAAAGACATTTGTGCTATATTTGGTGGTTTAAAATAAGTATCTTTAGGCTAGGTGCGGTGGCTCTTGCCTGTAATCCTAGCACTTTGGGAGGCCGAGGCGGGTGGATCACCCGAGGTCGGGAGTTTGAGATCAGCCTGGCCAACATGGAGAAACCTCGTCTCTACTAAAAATACAAAATTAGCTGGGCGTGGTGGCGCATGCTTGTAATCCCAGCTACTTGGGAGGCTGAGGCAGGAGAATCGCTTGAACCCGGGAGGCGGAGGTTGCGGTGAGCCGAGATCACGTTCTGTGCAACAAGAGCGAGACAGTTTCAAAAAAAAAAAAAAAACAAACCATATATACATATATGTGTGTGTGTATGTGTGTATATATATATATCTTAAGATGATGCCTTTTTAAAAATAAACAATAGTAAATTATTGTTAGTAAAATTGTTGCTTCTCAACATAATTTGAGATAATGCTTGCTAAATTTGTACAGTATGGTAAGTAAATGCATGAGTTAAAACTGATCTAGTGTTGATACTGTGTTTCTAAAACACATTTTCAAACTGATTAATACGGATTTTTGTGCTTACAAATTATTTAAAAGTTTTTTGTTGCCTGAAGCAGGACCTTCTGGGCAGTTGGGATTACAGGCACATGCCGTGACACTTGGCTGATTTTTAAATTTTTTTGTAGAGACACGGTTTTGCCATGTTGGCTAGGCTGGCCTTAACTCCAGAGCTCAGGTCTGCCTCAGCTTCCCAGAGTGTTGAGATTTGCTTTCTTAATATTTTAGTAGGTAAATTATTGAGTCAGTTTTCTTAGGTCTTCCACCATAAGTATGAATTTGACATGAAGTCAGGACAGTCAAATGAAAATATTTAGTAAATGTTTAGAGATAAGAGCTGGGTCATTCTTATTTATCAGAGCATGTTTTGAAAACCCGTATTCTTGGAAATTTTTATTTACTTAATTTTTTTCTCGCTATGTTGTCCAGGCTGGTCTCAAACCCGTGAGCCCAAGCTTTCCTCCTGCCTTGCTTCCTGTTACAGGCATGAGCCACTACTCCTAGCTTGGAATTTTTCAGTTAGCTTACTTTAACTTATATTCATTGAAATGAACAAAACTTCTTTTGTTTTAAATCAGATTCTTGCATTACTTGTTAAGGATATATAATCTGAGATCATAAAGATCTGAATTTTAATCCTGGATCTGCCACTTAACAGCTGTTGACACTATGTTAATTCCTTCATTTTTATTAAATATTAATTTCTTCCTTTGTAAAATGGGGATGATGCTACCTTATTGGGTTAATGTGACCACTCTGAGATACTACCTGTAAAGCATTTAGTACATCCTCTTTCACTGCTCAGCAAATGTTGTCACCATAATCATTACATCATCATCAATTCAAATGGGACTCCTTTCTAATTCGTCTTGGGTCAAAGTGGAAACTTGTGGTGAAAATGAAAATTACTCATTTTCTAATGCATACATGTTGTGCTTCAGAAAATATTCAGAAACTACTGAGAATGAAAATAATTAGGAAACAAAGCTACCATTACTATCATGATCAACACATTACAGATGCACCTTGATTTGTGATGGGGTTATATCCCGATAAATTCATCCTAAGTTGAAAATGCATTTAATACATCTAATCAACTAAACATTGTAGCTTAGCCTAGCCTATCTCAAATGTGCACAGAACACTTATATTAGCCAACGGTTGGACAGAATCAACTAAAACAAAGACTACTTTTTAAATAAAGTATTGAACATCTCATGTAATTCATTGAATTCTGGACTGAAAGTGAAAAACAGAATGGTTTTGCATCCTGGTAAAGTTCAAAAAATTGTAAGTTAAATCATTGTATTTTAAAATCATTATTTAGCATTAATTTGCTTCATTATTTAATTGTACATTACTTTCTTAAGGTAGAAACTTGATTTTCTTTTTAAATTTATAGGTATCCGTGGGGAAATCAATGTAGTTGTCAAAGTAGACCTCTTCAATGATTTAAATCGATTTAGGCAGTCATCATGTGGAGTCAAATTCTTTTGCAGTAAGTAAACACATTCTGTTACTCAACAGGAAATGTAATAACTGTTAAATATGAGAAATCAAGTTAGCATTTCAGAAGGCAAGTAGAAAGGGTATTATACTTGGTTTTAATGCCAAAGAGAAAATTGTTAATTTTCTAGAATAGTTACAGTAGTTCTGATTTGAGTATAAATGAGATCTAGTTTTTGAACATTTATAGAAAGTTTTATTAGAAAAATCCAGTGACATTTTACTGTAGTATAGGACACTGAACGAAAGGAGCAGAACACTACGGCTAAGCACTGTGGTGCTGTCCCAAAATACACAGGCTTCTATGGTTATTGGGTCTAGGGAACTCCATGAAATATATGGGTCTGAAATGGGCAGATCTTGATGACTCACCAGCCTGCAATAGTAGGATTGAAATCCCTAACTAGCTGACTTAGCTTCAGTGCACTAATGTTTATTTTAAGAGGCTAATTTGGTACAGATGTATTCAGGTTCTCTCCTTTTTGAACCTGAACTTGACTCCTCAGGTTATATCAGAAAGATAGTGGTTTGATTTTTGAAACTGTGCTATGTGGTGTACAGAAGTGCTTTCACAAAGGGCTTTGAATAATTGAAGATTTAAAAAAATTCATTATCTGCTTTCTACCTGTTTATGTAATAATTAGCTAGCTGACTTAAATTTTGATTTTTTAAACTTTGTATTAAATTCTGTTTAAGGTCGTCTATAGCTGTTTTCCAATTTATACAAATACAATTTATATTTACTTTGCTTACATGAGAAAGGTGAGAGACTCCATGAAAGAAAATAATTATTTCTAAAAATGAAATAGATCTTAGAAGACTGATTGGAAGTATTATTATAATTACATTGAGAATATTACAGTAAAAGATGTTCTTATATTATGTATCTAAAGGTCAGAAAACTGAGATGAACAGTTTTTAAAAACTGAGTTTTACCTTTTGATAAACAGAAGCATAATAATTTGTTTTAACAGCAACATCTATTCCAAAGTGCTATAGAGCTGTGATAATTCATGGATTTGTAGAAGAACTTGTGGTCAATGAAGACCCAGAATATCAGTGGATTGATCGAATTCGCACACCAAGGGCGTCAAATGAGGCCAGACAGAGACTCATTTCGTTAATGTCAGGTATTTAAAAAAAATAACTTTATTACTGACTGATTTAATACTCTTAAATTTTTCACTTTCTTTTGACATGCTACCTCAACTTTTACAATGAAGGGTATGAATTAGCAGTGACTGAATGCCTTCCCCAACTCAGCCTTCCTGAACACACTTGCATTGCCTTCTTTTAGCAAGTGGAAATGCAAATCAGAAGCTTGTAGTAAAAGGAAATTGTGTTGATGAGGTAGTGTAGTGGAAAGAGCACTGAACAAGGGGGGTTCAGGAAGGAACCCTGAATGGGAACCTAGATTCTAGTTTTCCTCCCTCTACCATTTATTTGTCAGAGCTTAAGCAAATCACCTTCTTCTGTCTCTCATACTTTCTGCTCAAATGTTGCCTTTTCACAGTTCTTCCCTGGGTAGTGTAGTTCCCTCTACCCATTTGACCACTTTCCCTGCCACTCTGACCTCCTTCCCTTTTTAAATTTTCCTTTGAAAAACTTGTTTACCATTTTATTTAAAGTTTATATTTATATTAAGAGTTATATATGTATATGCATGAATATATATGCATACATATGTTTCACACAAAGTATCAATGTTCTATTTATATAGTAAATATGTATATTTGTTTTTGTTCTATATATTTGTGCTGTATAAGTATGTATTATATTTTATAATTATGCTATATTGTAATAGAATTATGTTCTGTATTCTGTAGAAGCTAAACCAGATTATCTTTTAAGTTTCCTTCAAGTTCTGAAAATCTGTGATTTTCTCGGACTTTTTTTTTTTTTTTTTTACCACTACCATATCCAGTCTTATAGTATGTAATGTAAAGAGAAGCAAGAATGAGATTTCCCACTTTTTGTAGGTGAACTGCAGAGGAAGATTGGCTTGAAAGTACTTGAAATGAGAGGAAATGCAGTTGTGGGGTACTTACAGTGTTTCGATCTGGAGGGCGAATCTGGGTTAGTGGTGAGAGCCATAGGAACGGCGTGTACTCTGGATAAATTAAGTAGCCCAGCAGCATTCCTTCCTGCATGTAATTCCCCATCCAAAGAAATGAAGGAGTAAGTATGAATCAATGAAATTGTTCTTGCTAAGATTTTTATCTTTTATCTATGCTTTTTCATTTGATTTGAAACATTTTAGTAGGGTGGTTCAACATTTTCTCTGTGATGATTTTTATTGGCAATGACTGTCAAAATTTAAAACTTAAAAATATTTAAATATTCCTAATATTTTATTTATACCATCTTATTTATTTGTATTTTTATTTTTTGAGACAGGGTCTTGCTCTGTTGCTCAGGGTGGAGTTCAGTGGCACAGTCTTGGCTCACTGCAGCCTTGACCTTCCAAGCTCAGGTGATCCTCCCACCTCAGCCTCCTGAGTAGCTGGGACTACAAGGGCACGCCTGCATGCCCAGCTAATTTTTGTATTTTTAGTAGAGATGGGATTTTGCCATGTTGCCGAGGCTGGTCTCAAACTCCTGATCTACCTGCCTTGAACTCCCAAAATGCTGGGATTTACAGGTGTGAGCCACTGTGCCCAACCTATACCATCTTGCTATGAAACAAATTAAGTAATATAAAATTAAACATTCCAGATATTTAGACACTGCATATATGAAGCATAAAATGAATATTCATGCATTCTGTGGCATTTTATTTTCTGAGGAATGCTTAAAACCCTCTACCAGATAATCCAATTATACTTATTAATGGCCACATAGTATATAAAGCAGGAAAAATTGATTTGTGCGGAAGTCTTAAACTCAAATGTCTAGAGGCCAGGGAATTTATATGAATAAACTAACCGAGTATAATTAAATAGAGTATACTACTGCCTGCAAAGCCAAGGTTGGCAAACTTTTTTTGGGAAAGGCCAATATTTTAGGGTCTGCCCATATGATCTCTTGTCTTTATTTACAAAAAAGGGAGTTTGCTGATCCCTAATCTAAAGAAATTTAGAGTCGTACATTTTAGAAAATCTATGTGTGATCCTGCAAAACACTTCTGTTGACTTGATTTGGCCTGTGTGTGTCATCACTGTGTCAGAGGCAGAGATTTTCAGCATGATGATAGTGGTGACTGTCAATACAGAATGTTTGGAACAAGATTTTTCTGTCATAATGATTAGGGGGCTAGGTCCTGTTGGGGACTAGAGAGACTGACTGTTCTGCAAAGCAAGGGACAACCCTATACAATGAAGATTTGTTCCATCCTAAATGCCTTTAGAACTTCGGTTGAAGATAACTCATCTAGAGATTCTTCTAAGTCAGGGGTTGGCAAACTTTGTCTGTGAATGACAAAATGTACAGGTAAATAATTCAGTTTTTGCCGATGTTGCTTCATAACTGCCATTGTAGCACAAAGGCAAACATAAACAGTATGCAAATGAATACAGTGTGACTGTGTTCAAATAAAACTTACTTACAAAACAGATGGCAGGACACATTCGGCCTGCAGTCTGTAGTTTGCGGACTCCTGTCCTAGATAATCAGGGAGTCAGAGTTGTATAGTCAGGAAACCTAAAATGTTCCGCAGTTCAGCAGTAGTCAGGAGGGGTTGAATAGAAAGGTATCGTAGTATGAAAAAACATGTTTTTTCACAATCTTTTTTAAAATGAAATTTTCATCTTAAGTGCATTCTTTTTGTTTAGCCATTTTGTTTCTGCTGGCTATTAGTCATTTGGGTTGAATTTTATTCGTAAGAGGAAGCACAGTGTTACATAATGCATAATTTTATTTGGAAACACATTGGCAAATGAAATAATTGTTTTAAATAAATTGAAGAATGAATTTGCTTTATATTCCATTTGAAATATCTCCTAGAAAGATAAGAATTGCCAGCTGCCAGCAGTAGAGTCAGATTGCAGGTTTAGCTTTTTGAGGGATTCAGTTTGTTTTTCCCTCTCTCTGTAGCAAATTTAAGTAAATATTTAGTAGCAAATTAAAGTGAAAGTTTAAGCCAATTTAAGTAAGTTACTTAGTTGAAAGAGAATGAGAAAGCTATATTACCTGTTGCTTTCTTAGAAATAAGGATAGCAGGGGTATATGTTTTGCATGCATTCAGGAAGAGTTCTATTAGAGTAAATCTTCTGGGATTGTATGTGTCTTCTCCTTTCCTAATCTTGTTGTAGCCTCATGATGAACCTAAGTTCCTTCCTTAGGATTTTCTGAAAGGCATCTTACTAATAAAGTCAAGTTATTTTGAAAAAACCCTCAATACTCAGGCTGTTTTATTTCAACTAGCTTCATTGTATTTTTGATAATGAAGCAATCTGGGTTCTATTTCAAAGCCTATTTTATGATTCAGTTGATTATAACTATTCTGGTATTTAATTATCATATAATATTGTTGATTCTAGACAGGAATTTGATAAAAGGTTGTCTAGATTATGTTATTGACTGACTGGAAAGGAATATTAATATTATAAATACCACAGGTTATTATTATGAGACATCCTTTCATGCAGAGACACTGATCGAATCAGAAAACTCCAAGAATACATTATGGTGATGTTCCAATGCATTTGAATTTTAATTTGATGCCATAATTTGAACATTTTACACTGTTCATTTTAGTTTTTTCATTTTATTTTACCTATATTAATGGTGTGTTCTACTTCCTAAATTTGTTTTTTTCTTTTAGATGTTTAGTGTCATGCACACTGTAAATCCCTTTGGTGTTTTCCAGCTTAACTCTCTTGACGATAGAAAGTGCTTTTAAGTATGAGTTATTGCTTCTTTACTGAAGAAAAGTGCTGAGAGACAAATTCTCCTGTGTATAGTACTGATTATAATAAATATAGCTTTGTTTATTTTTAAGTCTTGGATTTTTAAATTCTTTTTGAGAATTCTTACACTTTTTCTCACTTCAGCAGAGAAATAAAAACAAAAACAAAACCTTACTCATTTTTTTGTGTAAAAGTAGATCACCAATGAATTGTTTGATTTTTATCCATTGTAGTAAATATCTTTTAATTTCTATTAGCAACAAACGTAGAAACATTTCCGCTATTGTAAAATCAGTAATATTTTCCGAAAGTAGTCTGTAGACCTTAGGAAGGACTATTATGATCAATTAGTGATAGCTCATGTTTGAACCTTGACAAATTGTGAATTGGGGATTGTTCTTGGGCAGTCAGTAATATAGCAATGGAAAAGAAAAAAAAGGTCAGGTAAAGTTGGGCTCTTGGCCTGCCTCTAAAGTGGGGATGATAGTTTTTCAGAGTGTACTCACTTATGATTCATGTGGTTCTGTTTCCCTCATTGTGTGTAAGCAAAGGCATTGCACAATGAAATAATTGCTGATATTAAATTCAGGATTCTTATTTATGTAATATACCTTTTTACAACATTCAAAGGTATATTATGTAATATACCTTTTTACAACTTTTAGCCAAATTTTTTCTTAAAAATTTAAAATGTTATATATCAATGTATTCTCGTATAACTGCTCTAAGTATACACACACATAGATATGGTTTATTATAGGATGTAAGTTGATATCTTAGAAAATTTTGATTTGGAATATAGTTTATATAATATATTCTGTATGAGAGCCAAAGTTATTGACATTGTTTTATGAAGGTGTCTTTAAAAGCAGGGTCCCCTTGTTTTGCTTCCAGTGTAACCTGATTTTAAGCTACATATTTGGTGTATAGAAATACTGGAATATGTTTATCTGCATATATGCGTTCAGTTCACTCATTTCTCTTTATGCCGTCATCTCTCATATTCTTAAGTACCCCTATCTTAGTAACCTAGACAGTTATTTAACTTTCTTTATAGAAAATATAATTAATTATATCAGCAATTCATATCTCAGTTTCAAAGGTAATATAAGAACTTCATATTTGATTTTTTACTTTTATGGGTGTCCCTCCCCATAAATAGTGCATAGTGAGTTCTGTTGTGATGAAAATAATAACAAATATGTTAAGGAAACTTAAAATACAGATCTTAGTCTTGTTCTCACTTAATTTCATTGACTATTCTGCTTGCCATTTTCTTATTCACAATTAATAAATTAATCGCAATTAATTTATTAATCGGATACTTTAAAACTATGACTGTATCCTAACAAATTAATATTGAGCTATTTTTCAATTTCAACTTGTTTTTTGCATGCTAGGGATTAAAAAAAATAAGTTCTCTTCCCTAACTAAAGCTCCTTTGAAATTATTTTAACATAACTCTGCAATCTGTTGTATGTATTGTTTTCTTTTCTTCCACTTTGACCGCAAATTCCCTCAGGTCTCCGCTGGTTCATCCTCCAAGCCATGGATGCCGCTCGACTCACAACAGCCCAATTCACACTGCTACTGGCTCACGACTTACTCAGAACTTCTCTGTGTCTGTTCCCACTCTCATCTATACTGGTACGAGACTGCTCAGACTCCAGAGCTGGGGAGATGCAGGCCACGGGCAGAGTGGCTGCAGAGGCAGGCAGGCAGGTAGTGTAGGCAGGTACCACAAGTCTTTGCTTCATCCTTTTCTTACTCGAAGTCCAGCTGCAGTGAGGAACTTCTGTATTTAGCTGCCACAGAGTCTCTAACTATATGGAAGTGAAGGTATTTTTCCAGCTTCCAAAGTCTCTTCCACAGATCCTCAAATAATGCTATTTTGTGTATGTGTACTGTGAGTTTTGAGGCGAATCCTCCCATACATATTTTATAATTATTTCTTCATTTGCTTAAAAATAAAATTGATGATTAGATTCTAAATGAAGTAGCTGCCAAAGCTTCCAATTTGCTTATTTTCTTTATATACAAAACCTATTACAGTAGGTTCTATTTCATTCTGTGGAAGAGAGCTATTGGAGAACAGGTAAGCAGCTATTCTGCATTAAAGGCAATGTTTCTGTGTAGCTGTATTCATTTTTCTCTCTGCTGTGTTTTTAGCTGTGGCACTCTTGCTGCTATAGGATAAGGAAACATTTTTTATTTTGAGGATATCTGTGTGTGTGCAAATATAAAAACAATTATGAATATTTACACACACCGCTTGTAGTTACCATTTTTCTTTTGTAACTTACAGCATTATTTGAAAATATTTTGTCATATATTCTTTTTATTTCTCCTTTTGATATTTTTTATCCCCTTAGTCTGTCATTTCATGCTTTTTTGCTTTTTCACTTGGCTTATTAACTGTTTCAATGCAGATAATATTTATCTGGAGAGTGATGAATGGTTAAACAGCAATTGGTTGTCTTTGGCCTCATTCCCAGCTCCACACGTAAGAAATGACTGCTGGCCCTGCCCCAATTCTTTCCTGGTGTTTGGATCATGCTGCCACCCGTCAAGCCCTTTGGCACATGATTACTTAATATTTCTCCACCTTCTTCTGGCAGGATTCCCTTCAATGAAGATCCCAATCCCAATACTCACTCATCAGGACCCTCAACCCCTCTGAAAAACCAAACCTATTCCTTTTCACCTTCCAAGTCCTACAGTCGACAGTCCTCTTCTTCTGACACAGATTTGAGTTTGACACCCAAAACTGGTAAGGCGCTTCCACCCACCTTTTGTTTTTTCTTTTTTAAAAAATTTGTTTCTATTTCTTATTAGCTTTCCATCCAAATCTTTCCTCTTGTTTTTGGCACTTAAGTTAAAAAGAAAATGTGAATACTGACCATTTTCAGTTACTACAATTAAAATACGAAAATTTTGTATAATTCAGAAATTATCTTGTCTACATTTCATTGATTTAATCATAGTGTAGATATCAAAGTCCATGATTTATTTTGGCATATAGACATTTTTCATTTTATGCTCAAATTAAGAGGAATAACATCTTAAAACATTTGACTAAAAAGTAACACTAGTAGATTGTAATTAGTTGCATACAAGCATTTTTGAATTTATTATTTCTGCCTATTAATGAATATAATTCTAAGATTTTATTATGAAAAAACTTTTAACCACTGAAATGGTTGTATTGGAGTACATCTATCTGTTAACTGGATATTTAAAATGTTTGGTTTTACTAGTCTTTCTAGGTTAGAAAATAGCATTTTTACTTATTCTTAAATTTTTCTGTTTATTAAATTTATATCTTTTTCTTTTCTATTGTATTTTGATGAATGATTTCTGGGTTTTTATGAAAATGTTGTATGATAAAAAGTTGATGGAAAAATCAGATTAGTTCCTTATACCTTAGAATAGAATTAACTTATTTAAATCATTAAAGTATTATTGTTTAGAAAAATTTAAAATAAATTAAACTTAAAACTTAATGGTGTGAAATTTTTATAAATAGTATTTTTGTCTGACAGTTTTCCCATCAGATGATTAAAACAGTTATTTGTTATTTTTAATTAATATTTTTTAATAGCCCTATTTGTATGTTAGAAATTTATAAAACAATCCTAGATTTTGTGAAAACAAGGAAAAGAAGTCTAAATCCAAAGCAGTGCTACTTCTATGGAAAGATCATTTTTTAAAAAGGCTGTAGATTTAATTTCTGTTTTCATAAATGAAGTCATAAAATATAAAGATAAACACCTGTTTTCTTGAAGATAACAGCTTCATCTTTCTAGATAATTATGAATAATGTCTACACATAATGTAGTTATTTGATAGTAATATATGCTTTGGAATTTGGCACCTTACCAGGTTTATGCCATAAAAACTGAACCATCCAGACTGTAGTGAAAAAAGATTTTTTTTTTTTCAGATAAAGCGTAAAAGACTCTGGCCTTAAAATTCATGACAATCAAGACAAAGACTTACATTACTATTTGAGTAATAAGTTTAAAAAATATTTTTGAGACTGTGGTCCACTGACTGCATATTCCAAGCCTTTATTTATTTATTATTATTATTTTTTTTTATTTTTTTTGCCATACCATAGATAAAATTTGGAAAGCATTTCCTTGGTCTTTCTGTTTCTTTTTTCTTTTCTTTTTTTTTTAAATTCACCAAAAAGGCCAAGCCTAAAGAAGATTGTCAAGTAGTAATTATTAATGAACTTTTCATATTTTATCTTCTGGTTCCAAATTTTTAGTTTAAAAATGTTTATTTACAAATGGGGTGTTATTCCCATGTATTCCTATATTTATAAGCTGCCTCTAAATAGTTTTGTTTTTCCTAAAATTATTTATTACTTCAATAGCTTATTTATATAACATTAGCAATTTTCAGCCCCTTGGCCTTATATTGTGAGTCCCTGAATCTCTGGATTGTCCTGAGGAGCACTCCTATCTCATGGAGACTTCAAATGGAAAAATTGTGATTGTTATAAAAGTTCTAAAACTAAAATTTCAGCCTGTATTTCATGATTTTCTGCCTTCTAATTTACCTATATCAGAATCAGTGTCTTGAGAAATAATGGACAGACATAAGCTGATTATAATTTATTTGGGAATCCAAAAGTAGAATAAATGACATTTAGACAGAAATTTTTTTTTTTTTTTTTTCTGTTTGTAGTTCAAGCTACATTATCTGTTTTTCTGGTAGGTCTCTTTTAAAAACTTTTATATTTATTTCTCTAGATACTAATTTTGACATTTACAAGGTTTTATTTTTATATTTTTTCCCAAGTATTTAATAGTGGAATTTTAGATATACTAGTGTTAGAATATTGATTTGATACCTGATTTTAGCTAATATTTTTAGCCAGTCTTTTAACTATGTATAGTTTTTACAGAGGATATTTGACCCTTAGGGTACTCAAATCTCGGTAAATGCAAATAGTACTATGATCAGAGTAAAGTATTAAACATTTTAGAGGAAAAAGAAAAGCATTAATATGTATCTCAAAACTGGACAGACGTTAATATTAAAATTAATACTGACAACTGTTTACCTAATCCAGTACTGAGTATTTTTTATGGGTATTCAGTTAAAGTGCCCATAAATGCTATCTAAAGTTAGTAACATTTGAAGTACTGCACCTTTATAACTTTAAATAAGTGTTTATATTTTAGGCAGCAAGTCTGGCTCTAAACATTTGAAAATGTGGTATATTTTAATCTTACAAATTCTTAAGCCAAAAAGGGCAGGCAAGTTAAGTATTTTGAAGACGTCAATTAAAAGTTATTAGAATCACATAAAATCCTAAGTTAGTGATTTAAAAAATTTTAGTGAATGTGAAGTTTGTAAAGGTTTTGTTAAGTTTTAGACTATGCCTTTTATTTACATTATGTGGGATAGATGGTCTTGCTAGTGACTTTTCATTTGCTTAGTGTAATTTGTCTGTACATTTTAAAGTTCATTTTTATTGTTATATTTTGCCTCATCATTGCTTTCCTTAGCCTGCATTTTTTGATCATCTTCTGAATCTGCATCTTTTCTCTGCTACTTTCCTCCACAGCACCTTACCCACAGGGACCTAGGATTTACCTGTGTCCCAGCTCCCCCTCTCTCTCTTGTGGTTCCCTTCATCTTAAAAAGTCCTGTCTCCTCCTCTCGGAATCTAGCCTTACCCCTCATCATTCTAGCCTTGTCAGCCCAGTTCTGAGGAAAAGTGTTTCTTTCAGTGAAGAGCTGTTCCTGGCTGCTTCTGGTAGGATCACATTATGTCAGCTTTTTAATCCCTTTATTTTTCATGCTGTAAAGAATTATTGGATATTTTATACAAGATGCCTTTCTATTATTTTTCTTACTGGTAGACAGTTAAATAATTGGAATTATAAGGATATAATTGAGGATTACTTGATGGCTAATCATGAATATTCTGCCAAATTATTTTATATATTAAAAGATTATATGTCTAAGGACATAGATCTGGGTATTTCTAATATTATTAGATTCTTATTACTACAGTTTCTGTTTTAGATGCTTTACTTTCTTTCTCTTCATACCAACTCCATTCACATTGGACCTGTATCATCATGTTGCTAAACCAGTTGGTTACATTAGTAAATTATTCTGTTTGAATCAGTTTAAGTCTCATTTTGGTGATATTCTTTCATTATCTTTTTTTTTCTGTCTGTTGCATTAATTATTAAATTTTTCTGATATATTTTCTGATATTTCACTTATCACTACAAATTTACATTTTATTTTCTGGCTTTTAATATGCTTCATATAAAGATCTTAGTTTCATTTCTATGTTTAGTAGTGTATAGTCTCTAAAAATAATGTTCAGATTACTATAAGAAAATTTTTTTTTTTTTTTTTTTAAGAACAGAATGGGACTATACATATGCTAACCTTTGTTTCCTTATCCAAGAACAGCTAAAAATGTAAAAGTTAGTTTCTTTTTAAGTCATTGTAGTAAATTTGGCTGTATGCATCTTCAGTTTTGAAAGGGATGGGATTAACTCTAGTCTGTAGAGCACTGGCTTCTTACCTGTCCCCTGCTTTCTGTGATTCTTTGACCATAGTTGATCTATTGGCATGGTCAGAACAATAAAATAAGGTAGGGAAAGAAATTTAAAATGAAGCCATAAAAAATATATCTAAGAGCTTGGGAAAGGTACTTCTTTCATTCATAACTATGTACATTTGTGATGTGTCTATTACATGTCCGTGATTTTTTGTTTATTTAAAAAAAGTTTATGTTGATTTTTGTGAATGAGTATTGACAAGTATGAAATTAATACTGTTTTGTCATGATACGTTTAGAAATGGGAAGTTATAAGAAAATAGATTTGACTATATTTCAAAATCACCTAAATTTTATGTGTTTTAGAGAATTTTGGAATATTTTAAGTGAGCACAAGTAGTGCTTTTGTCTCTATATTTACATTTAATCAGACATATTATATTTCTCATTTTTTAGTATTCCTAAATTGTTTGCATAGTAATTGTTATTATCTTGATTATTTTAATTAATTAAAAGACTCAGCTTTTAAAATGGAATATTATGGAAAGTTTCATCACCTTAACATAATTTTTCTTATAATTTTCAGAAAAAATTAAGTCCAAAACTAGCTGGGGTCCGTAGGGTTCTGACATCTTGCATCTAAAGTAAACTTTGTGAATAAAAGTAGAGTAAAATATGTGCTTTAGTTGTCATCCCCAGTGCTTTAAATGTTTCGATCATTTTATCACATTTCAACTCATGATGTTTATGAAGATGAATGCAATTAAACTTTGTTTCTATAGTTGTTTTTTTTTTGGTTGTTATTTATGTACTGATGTTCTGTAGGAATGGGAAGTGGTAGTGCTGGAAAAGAAGGGGGGCCCTTTAAAGCTCTTTTAAGACAACAGACTCAATCAGCTTTGGAACAAAGGGTAAGATTCACTTGATATTCTTTATTCTTACACTGTTAATATGACTTTGTTATCTTATGCTTCCATGTACTTACATGTTTTCATGAACTGTTTTAGTTACACATCTATAATATTGCAGTTTTGAAGTCCAAAATGGATTTAAGATGTCAAAGTAATTTGTTTATGGATAATTACCTTTGATTTGGAATAATTACATAATAATAATTTTTGTTTTGTCATTTAATCTTTTATCAGAAATACTATTTTTGAGAATACCTATTGAATGCTAAAGTAATTTTCCATTACATTTATTATTGGAAAGGAGATGGTAAACATTTTTGCAGAAAAAAGTATTCCAGTAGCATTTTATTATATTAAAAATAATTCCTTAGTATATAAATATATTTGTTTGCTGAGATTACCTTTATCATTGGCCAATCTCTTAGGAATAAGAAATGTACAGATTCTGTATTTCTAAAGATTAATATAATGTGGTTATTCATTATAATGCATCTATTTTAGCTATTGTAAGTTTGATATTTAGCTATGTTTGTTGATTGGGAAAATAAGCAGTTACAGTTTTTGGATGATTTCTCTCTCTCTTTTTTTTTTTAATAAACTTCATTGCTAAGGGAGGATCGCCTCATAGGTTCTGTAGAAGGCGGGTATGTTTCCGAAAAATGTGTGAGAGCCTATTTCTTGTATTGATAGCTTTTCTAGTTTTAATCTTGGTCATTTAAGTTTTATTTAAGCTTTTAGCAAATGTTGACAGCATTTGTCTTTTCATAATGCAAAGTTTTTTTTTCTTTTTAAATTTAATAGCACTGTGAGGCTCATGTTCTTTTTTCTACTAACTAATATGGTGCATGTTATATATGTCATGTCAATAATTTTAAGACATAGTTCTATAGCTTTCATTATGTCTGATTTGGAAGCTATAAGCATTCACAGAATTTTCTTTTACATGTTCTATATTACACTAGCATTTGGGGGAAAAAAGGTGAAAGAGTAAATACCTGTAAAAGGATACATTTCGTAAAACTAAACTATTTCTCCTCTAGAGGTTGGTACAATTTGTTTTCTAGACTTTTCCCTCCTTATGCTGACAGTATGTGTGTATGCACTGTTTACTTAGACAAGGCTGGAGAAAGCAGAGCTGAACTAAGCAATGATGAGGCTTTAGCTCATTTTTTGCTTCATGCTCTATCAAGCAGCAGTTACCTTCCAGCTACTCTTGCATCTTGCAGGCAAACCTACAACTGCCACCAAAAGGCCCACCTAAACATTCAAATCAACTATTAAAACCAAATGTAACAAAAGACTGAAAACATTGAAGAGGGTCAGAGTGAAGGTGTGTGTGTGCATTCACTTACCATTTTTTTTGGCCAGAATGCTCTTATCTTTTTCCCTGTTCCATTATTATGTTCTGTACAGAGTTTTTCACAATAGGAATATGCTTGCTTATAATCAAATTACCATTCTGGAATTCACAGTAAAAGAAAAATGTGGGTTCCCTTGAAATTCTATATAATAAGATTTTACTTGTATGTTGTGCCTGTGACTTTACTGTCTGTACCAAGAATCTTTAAAAACCATCTCACTTTAAGGGAAAACAATATTAAGCAATGAAAACCATTTTGAATTTAGTTTGGATAAAATTTGTGTTTTCAAATATGCATTTAAACATTCTTAAAATTTTGGACACATTTATTCATTGGACATAGATTACTAAAAAATCTTCATGGAATTAACAGCAAAGGTGTAGAGAACTATAGTTTCATTTACAACTTTGTCAGTCCTGAGTTGGCAGTACATCTACATCGTCTAACCTCGAAGTAGCAGTTACTCAGGTTTATGAAACTACTTCTCTACCTTGTGTACAAAGTAAGCAGCAAAAGCATTATCATCTTTGGCTTTCCTATTCACTTGTGACTGCCATTAGTATGGCTTTTGTTTTGGGAAAAACAAGAAGTATGAAGAATTCTCCCCATATGTGTTCAGATATGACTTAATTCTGCTAACCTGAACACTAGATTATGTCACTGACATGATCTACTTATATGATGTTTCATATTCATTTCTATCTCTTGGTAAACAACCCTTAATAAATTATATGGCTTTTTTTTTTTTTTCTTGAGGAAAGAGAAACTTTATTTGCCCAATCTCTTTTACGGATTATTCAAGTAGTAGTTATCAAAATTAAAAGTGTTATTCTTTACTCTCACAGAAGCATTGCCGGGTTTTTGGTAGATGAGAAATAGAGATAAAAGTTTTGTTTAGATTTAACTTCCACCTATGAATTTTTTGATGTAAAGTAAATAGATATTTAATTAATTAATTAGGAGAGAGGCTCTCTCTATGATGCCCAGGCTGGTTTCGAACTTCTGGGCTCAAGTGATCCTCCCATCTCAGCCTCTTAAAGTGCTGGGATTAGAGGCATGAGCCACTGTGCTCAGCCAGATGTTTTTCAATAAGACTTTTATTTTACCTGTGAGAAAATATGGAAGTACTTTTTTAGTTCCTTCAGTCAAGAAACCTAGTTAACTTAGTTTAACCTAGGATTTCCCAAGTACATTTTATTAGAACTTTCCTTTTAAAATACCTGTTAGTGAGGAATGCATTTTGGGAAACATTGATGTAAGGTAAACTCTTGAAGAATTTTGATCTTTTTAGAAGTGAGAGTAAAATTGTACAATAAATCATGGTAGAAATCTGTTATTGATTTTATATCTAGAAAGTTTAGTCTTTTGCAATAATAAAAAGAGTATTTGATTTAAAGAATAAACTATTTAAATATCTCCTAAGAAAAATCCTATTTAAATCTCTTTTTAAAAGAATACTCCCATTGTGCTCTCATGATTTTTCAACTAACCTGTCTTTGAGCACACACTATTAAATATGTTTATGCTGCCTGCCCTTGGCTTATGTCAGATCATCAGCATGTAACTTTATCTAGGTACCACAGGGAAAGCTACTTTAAATATGAAGACTTTCTGAAGAAATTTCTTCTGCAGTTCCTGAAATTCACATCTAGGCGTTGAAAGCAGGATGTGCTTGGGCTGATCTTCAGGAAGCTATTCTTTTTTTTTTTTTAATTGAGACGAAGTTTTGTTCTTCTTGCCCAGGCTGGAGGGCAATGGCGTGATCTTGGCTCACTGCAACCTCTGCCTCCAGGATTCAAGCAATTCTCCTGCTTCAGCCTCTCGAGTAGCTGGGATTACAGGCATCTGCCACCATGCCTGGCTAATTTTTGTATTTTTAGTAGAGACAGGGTTTCACTATGTTGACCATGCTGTTCTTGAACTCCTGACCTCTGGTGATCCACCCACCTCAGCCTCCCAAAGTGCTGGGATTACAGGCGTGAGCCACTGTGCCCAGCGAAAACTATTCTTTTAAACAGAAGAAAAATCTATAAATTCATCAGGTGTAATAAAATCAAATCCTTAACTCTAAATGACAGTGAAACCAGATGATAAAGTTTGTTGCTCACAAAGAATCTAGGAATACAAGGCCCTCTTGAGTTCAGTTTTTCATATAAAAAATGGAGATAATAGTACTTCCCTCATATGGGAAGGGTTATAAAGCACAGACTACAGGGCCTGGCACATGGAAGTACTTGACAGTAGTTGCTAGTTATGGTGGTGATGATAGGTACTTAACAATCTGCTATAGATTTCAGCAGTAGCTCTTCTAATAAGAATTGTATGAAGACAGAGTTTTGGTTAAATAACAATGAGATTTTTTATTTATTATAGGTTTAATTTTGTGTTTTAGAATGAATTGGTGTGCCGAGTAAGTGAATTGGGGACATGTAAGGTGGAGAGTGAGTTGTGGCCTCTTTGGGCAGCCATTGCCCTGTGTGTTTCTTTCTGACCAGCTCCACTATGATGCTTCCCCTCATTTCTTTACCCCAAACAAAGAACTTTGGGGAGAAGGGTCAAGAACCCTGAATTGAAAAGTCATTTAGGTTCATTTATTCATACTTATATAAAATCTTATATGAAAATGTTTTCTAATATGTAATGTACCTATTTAATTTCTTTAGAAGAGAAAAGGAAGTACTGTCTTCCATTTAGCTTACAAAAATGTTACTTTCAGTATCTCTTGTCTAGATATTTGAAAGATTTAAGTAGAAAGATTACATATAAAGTGATTTTTTATTCTGTGAGACCACCACATGCCTCAGATATTTTGAGGAAGTATTAAAATGTAAGTGATCCTAACACTGAACCTAACTACATTATTAATAATATAAGCTTACCTATACATTTCTCATTTAAAACTCACATTTATAAAATTCAAATGGACTTGCTCAGTGACTACCAAACTGTTTTCCCAGTTTCTTTCTTAACACTTATATTATTGTGTAATTACCCCTGTGTGTGGTGTGCCTAACAATAAATCCATTCAAATATTTTTATGACTCAAAACTTCATTTACATTCAAATTTCTTAACAATAAATATGAATTCATTATGAGGTAATCTTCTAGTTTGCACAGTTTTTATTAGATTTCCAGGAAGAAAACTTGGAGGACAGAAAAAGAAGTTTAAATGGAAATAAGGATGCATTTTGACTAAACATATTATAATACATTTATTATAAGTGACGTGCTCTCCTTCCATCCTCTTCCTTATCTTCCCTCTACCTGTGTGCTGGGCCAGACCTAACCACTTCCATAGAGTAGCTTTTTTACTCTTTTCTTACGTAGCCTAGATTTTTCTTTCTGTTGTTTAAAGATTACTTCTAAATTTGAACTGAATTTATTTCTAAATATGTGTGTGTGTGTACATGTTTTTTTATACTCAACCTTCATGGGTGACTGAGTTGCATAGGACTGATTGCTTTTGTGCTAAATGATTCCAAGTTGCTGTGCTTTGTGATCATGCTTTTGTGAGTTTGTATTTTCCATGCCTGAAGCAGCCAGTGAATAATTCTTGCTGCTTTTAATGTGCCTGCTTCTGGTGGTATTCTGTATCTCTTTACCAACTTTTATTTGTTGCATTTAATCTGCGGTGGTCTTGAAAATAAGATCATGATAAATTTTAGAATTGTTTGTTCTTAAGATAAAAATTTATAACTACTATAATATAGTATGAATATGATCTGTGGGAGTCTCCTATGAATAAAGTATATGAGCTTTAGTGCTTGAGACGGTAACAGTTCTTTTGACTGTTGAGAGCCCCGTTTTGCTTATTTTTCTCAATTATGCTCAATTATGTTCTAAATAGCTGAGGCTACTGGTAAGTGATTCCAGTTAAGTGAGCTACATTAATCTTGCAGCCAGACAGGGCAAACATCAGGTTATCCTTACTTGCATCCAATTTGTATAATGTGAGGGGCCTCCATGTTTCCACAGGAGCTCTGTTTTCTTATTGGGTGCTATTTCAATGAATTTCCTTTCTCGGCTTTTTCATTTCTCTTTCTTGTGTTTCTCTTTGTCTCTAAGTTGATGAATTTTATGTCTTTAAGAGAGAAGGAGAGAATAAAGTGTGCAAGAACTTGTGGAGTTTTATTGCCTTCCTGTTATCTATGTACCTGTCACCTTTCCTTAATGTACCTTTATGCTCTTGTGTATGTTCCTGCCACATTGGTGTTGATAGAGTAACCTCAGGCAATGATTCTTTAACCACCTCAACTTGATATTTGCCCCTATCCTCTTTCTCTTAACCCACACTGCTTAGCCTCTCACTTACCCTCCCTTGGTCCCACTTTCATTTAGATCTCTTGGGCCCAGGTTTTTAGAGTCTTTGCCGGTGTCTTATACTGGGTGTTCATGTGAAGGGGGTGTCTATACCACTGAGAAATAGATAATGGGGTAGAGTGATAGGGCAGTTCCCTCATCTCATTGAGAAGTTCCATCAGAGTTGGAGATTCAGAGGAAGGAAGAGTATGTTTTAAATATCTTAAATTGAAAGAACACTTTTTTTTTCCTCATTGAGAACTGACGAAATTGGTCTTTGGATTCTGTATAACATTGTATATATGGGGAAATGGATTTGAAACTCTAAACATTTAATAAAATTTTTAATTACAAAGCATGTGTAATGTAGAATGGGTGGCCTTTTATTTCAAGGGATGTAATACATTTGCTTATGACAAGCTTTTTAATCAGCAAATTTTTTACACTTTACACACGGTAAGTTTATTTTTCCCCTATTCTTTCCACTAGGAATTTCCATTTTTTACCTTGACGGCATTTCCTCCTGGATTCCTTGTACACGTTGGGGGTGTAGTTAGTGCACGTTCTGTGAAGCTTTTGGATCGCATCCACAATCCTGGTATGTTCTTAAAAAGTTTCAATGTTTCCTTTATTTAAATTGTGGTTATTAAAATTGATTTTCATGATTTTTTAAAGCCAAATCTATCTGAAAAGAGAAATGAAAAGAAAGTATAAACTAGCATGTTACTTTAATATATTTGTAGTGATCTTAATTATAAATAAACTAAGTGTATTTTAGTTACTTTTCTGTAAAAAACAAATCTTAATTTATTTTTCATCATAATATCACTTTAAGGAAATCCTTAAATAACTTTTCTTTGACCCAGGGGAGATAAACATTTTTATAAATTGACCATTATGGCCATTAGTTTAAGATGTTAGTTCTTTTCATTAGCAGTAGCTCTTTATAGATTGCTTATTTTCATTTTTCTTAAAACAGATATTTTTAAAAATGTAATGGTAAAGCTGGGCACAGTAACATGTGGCTGTAGTCCCAGCTACTCAGGAGGACGAGGCAAGGAGGATCGCTTGAGCCCAGGGCAACATAGCCAGACCTGGGCAACAGCCTGGGCAACACAACAAGACCTGTGTAAGCACTGTGGGTGTCATAGGAACAGATACGTAGCAGAGGGAACCAGATGAGTCCATGGGTCAGAGACCCTCTTCCTGAGCAGGTGACTGGAGCTGTCATTTCTTAGAGCTCGTTGTGTAACTTGAACACACTGGGACTGTCTTTGACCGTGGCCACCTGTCCCCTCCAGCCTGCCCAGGCAGCATTTAGGAGACACAGAACCCAGATCCCAGCACTGTGCTGGGATTCCATTCTGTCATTGGTGGTGGAATCCAGCATGGGCAACAAAGTAATTGTAGACTTTGTCTAGAGTAGCTAAGAATTGAAAAATAGACAGACAAACTAACATCTGGTCCCTCAGTTTCTTTTATGTAGCTATTTGTTCTGTTTGAACAAACGAGTAAGAATAGTAGGTTACTTCTTTAAAACATAGGAACATAATTAAAAGCAAGTAGGCATCAAAGTCCTACTGGATTCAGGCCCTTGGATCAGAAATACTCTGGTGATTTTTCTGTGTCTAAAATAAGCATGATAAATAGTGGGAACTTTCCATATGGAATGTGTTCTTATATCTCTCATTGACTAGATGCTCAATCAACATACATTAAACCTGAAGTTATATTAGTATTCTTATTTGGCATATAGACGTATATATTTTTGAAAATTTTAAATTGTCACATCCAGTGACCTCTTTGTGAGGCTTGTATTGACAGCTATAAAAAGAAGAGTGGCCGGGCACAGTGGCTCACGCCTGTAAAATACTAAAAATACAAAAATTGGCTGAGCATGGTGGCAGGCGCCTGTAATCCCAGCTACTCAGGAAGCTGAGGCAGAGAATTGCTTGAACCCGGGAGGTGGAGGTTGCAGTGAGCCAAGATCGCGCCATTGCCCTCCAGCCTGGGCGACAAGAGCAAAGCTCTGTCTCAAAAAAAAAAAAAAAAGAAAGAAAAGAAAAAAAGAAGGGTAAAATGCTTTGAAGTTATTGGACCAAAACATTGTAAATAATGACTATTTTTGAGGATACAGAGCATTACTATTTTAAAATTTTTTTTAAAAGTTTATGACCTGTAGTTTGATGTCATTTGAGTTTATTTCAGAGAAGACTAGAATTCTCTGGACCTTGAATGAGATTTCAGAAAAACAGTGCAAGTTAGGATCATTTAACTCTACAAGTGGGCAAATACATCTTTTAAGCACTGGTTTTCTCTTTTTTTCCCCTTCTTTAGTTTTTTTTTCCCCCCCTGTTTCTTATTTTTGTGGTCAATATAAAATGTTTTCTCCATTGTGGTATTTGTGTACAGTACTTAAAGAAAAATTCAGACTGATGCCAGTTTAATGCATTGGGATCTTGGAGACTATGCCAAATTCTACATCTTTGTGTTAAGGAACTTGAATTATTTGGAAAATGCAAGGAAGTACCGAGTTAACATACCTGACATCAACCTTGTGACCCAAGGCCAGTTACCTGTGTTTCTATGGACCATTGACTCAAATATTTTAATAGATGGCACCCACTGATCTAATAGTTCGAAACATGGTTTCAGGAATATATTTAATTACTAGATATCTTCTGCTTACTGAAAAACATTTTGGGCTGGATGCAGTGGCTCACGCCTGTAATCCCAACACTTTGGGAAGCCACTTTGAGGCGGGTGGATCACTTGAGGTCAGGAGTTTTGAGACCAGCCTGACCAACAAGGTGAAACCCTGTCTCTACTAAAAATACAAAAATTAGCCAGGCCTGGTGGCAGGCACCTGTAGTCCCAGCTACTTGGGAGTCTGAGACAGGAGAATTGCTTGAAACCGGTAGGTGGAGGTTGCAGTGAGCTGAGATCGTGCCACTGCACTCCAGCCTGGGCCACAGAATGAGACTCTGTCTCAAAAAAAAAAAAAAAAAAAAAGAAAAACATTTTGATTTTATTTTCTTGCTTCCATGTACTCTGAGTAAGCTATAGAGTCTGTGAGAACAAGTGAAGTTTACTTAAATAAGTTTAAGTAGAGAGCTGTATTTAGTGTCACTACTTAAAAAAAAAAAAACTAACTGCATTTTGGGATTTATTTTACCTGCCAGTTCATGCTAACTGTGCAAGAAATGTAAGAATCCAGGCCCAGGGAAGAAAAGAGTAATTCTTATTACAGAATGTCTTTTGGGTATTGTAACTACCAGCTCACCCATTCTCTGCCTTTCCTCCCAGTTTAGAGTATTTTTTCAGCTCACATGTAGAAATTCTCAGTTATTAATGGATTATTTCCCAAAAGGTCATGGACATATACATATAAGTGCTTTCAAATGGTGTATGAGTTACATTTTCATTTTGGTTTATTTTTAGTTAAATACATGTGATTATTCTAATGGTTCCAATATTATATTATTTTGATTTAAAGTATCACATTCTGACTGGGCACGGTCACTTACACCTGTAATCCCAGCATTTTGGGAGGCCAAGGCGGGCAGATCGCTTGAGCTCGGGAATTTGAGACCAGCCTGGGCAGCATGGTGAAACCCTCTCTCTACCAAAAATACAAAAATTATCTGGGCGTGGTAGCACACGTCTGTGGTCCTAAATACTTGGGAGGCTGAGGCAGCAGGATCACTTGAACCGTAGAGGTGGAGGTTGCAGTAAGCCGAGATCATGCCACTGCACTCCAGCGTAGGTGACAGAGGGAGACTCCATCTCAAAAAATAAAATGTCACATTCTGTGGATTGTTTTATGTATTATTATACACTAAAAAGGAACATTTTCTTAAGAACATTTACTAATCTCCAGACCTTTTAAGTAATTATTTATGAAGAAATTTTAATATATTGAAGAAAAGCTGAATGTTGAAACAAAACAAAACTCTAGATTAACATCTACCATAATGATGATGTTTTAATTTTGTGACAGTTACTCTGCTGAGAGAAACTTACGATGGATTGAGATGCATGTGCTAATGTTAAAAATGCTGTGTTTGCATTCTCAAATGAATTTTGCAGCTATTTTTTGACTAGTGAATATGGGAAATTTTTGTTTCATTCTCACTATAGAAGGGAAAAAATCTTATTTTAAAACCACTACCACCTGCTAACTATGGATTTTTATTTTGGAGGCTTTTTTAAAGAACATCCTCCTTTGGTAAATTTTGAGCAAACAGGTGACTGCAACAAGGGAAAGAATGGGGTGGTTTTAAAAATCAAGGTAATTCAATAATTAGATTAGTTAATGTTAGATTACTATAGCATGCTCCTTTCCCCTTTTCTATTTCTAGTTCTTATTAACTCTGCTGTCTGTGTCTTTCCAGTTCCTGTCGAGTGGTGTTGTCAATTGCGTTCTTGTTTGTAGTGTTTTTTGTTTTATTCCTACTATTCTGCACCTAAAACTGATCTACTAATTTGCTGTTTTGAACTCAGCCTTTGTCGGAATTATGGGTAACACAAGATCTTACAAACTGCTAGACTGGAATAGTTTCAATTCAGGTATTTTAATGGTCATTCAGTACTACATATGCTGACAAAAATTATGGCAGCTCAGTGAAGTTTTTAGAAATGTTCTAGATGAAGTAAGTTTAAGGTCAATTCAGTTATACAGATATATTCTGTGCTACGTATGTAATAACTCTTGTAATTTCAGTGGAAATGCAAATATAAAAATGTGTTAACTAAAATGAATTAATGAAAGCCATAGAAATACTATAAATTATCAATGACTTTTCTTAGGTAATTAACTTCAGAATGATCATTTAAAATTATATTTATTACGTTTTGGATGGTTTTCTATATCAGGTAAATGATGTAGGCTTTAGCTTTAAGATTAAGCAAGTGTTTGTTAAATATAAGTATTTAATGTTTCATAAATTAAAAATAAAGTATATTTAAATGCACATTTAGATTTGAATAGAATATGTTTAGTGTTCTGTAGGATACTGTAAAAGTGTAACTGTTAGCATTTTTATTTATAATTCTAGAAGTGTTCCAAAATAGATGATAACTAAGAACAGACTTGGGGGATTAACAGCTTTCTTAAACTTTCCTCCTTCCCTTTCCACATGTGAATATAATTTTTAAAAAGTAATTTTACATATGAATGTAGTTTGTAGCTTTTAAATAAACCAGACTAAGATAGCAAGTTTTACAGCTGATGATGTGTTTTAGAGTTAAAAGCAATTTTTCTTTTTGATAAAAACATAATAATGTACATTTCTAATTGTTTATATTATATTTTTTAGAATGAAATAATACAACCATTTTGATTCAGTCAGAAGCTGGCATGTTGCCTAAAGAAACTTTTCAGTTATTTGTCTCAGAAAGTATATCTTACAGATAAGCAAAGCACCAAGGGGCTCAGAATTTTAGATAATATCTCAGAATCTTTTCTATATTGTAAACTTTTTTTGTTTTTAGGAGTTCAAGATATAAGTTTTGATGTAAGTAATGCACGTTTGACTATGAAGTAAATCATATTCATCATGTAGATTTACCTAAATTCAGTCTGGTAAACCATATGATAAGTCCAACATTTACAGATGCAGATTGATATCAATCTATAATCCGTAGGGAAATTTCCTATCCAAGTTTTTACCAGCATGCTGTCACTGATTAGAATTAAAATGATCATTTGTTAGTGTAATATTTTATAATTGGTTTTTAGTGAGAAATTGAAAAATACCTTGCTAGGTTAATTTCTTAAAAATAAGAACTTTTAAAACATAGGCAGATTAGTATAGTGGAAAGATATATAGAAAAAGGACATTGAGAGCATATTCATCATTAATAATGTAGGGAACTGAAATCTTGTCAGAGCAAAGATGTTTAGAATGAGATGTGTGTTGGTCAAATCATAGAACAATCTTGGAAATGGAAATGGCAATAATTAAATCTTATAGACATAGTAAGGACATTGTCCCACAAAAGCAGAATTATGGTTTGGCAAAGAGAAACATGGTTGAGGAAGCAGTATATCTTGCCATCACTTCAAAATAATGTCAGGTAGAAAGTATATGAAGAAAAAAGGTGGATATAAGTTATAGAATGTTAAAAGAACATAAATGATGACACCTCGTAGTATGCTTCTGATTAATTAGAATCTTTCTGGTAAGACCTAGTGTATATTCAGAAACAACTGATTTTCATACTTGTTTAGGAAAAATAACTTGATAATTCTGAAGAAAAATTTGATATAGGTAAATATATGCAAATCATTTATATATTCTTCTCTGTAATTTGAGAATATTTAGCTATTGCTCTCCTATGTAGAAAATCAAGAACTAACCGTGGTAGGAAAAGAATTGTTGATACCATTTTTATTAGGGCTAGAATTGCTCATCCACACTGTATTTCCTGGCTTCTTTGTACCATGTATTACATGAGGCATCATCATTTTAATAACAGCCTTCCAAGAGAAAATATACACCACCATATTAAATATAATTAATTATTAGACATTCTTATTTCAGAAACATTAAAATATGGAAAGATACGGGAAGATTATTATACAGTAATGTTGTATAAAATATGACAGGTCATACAAGCTTATATCAGAATTTATTTTGTGCCATGCAATTTGCTAGGTGTTAGGGTGGAAAGATTGCCAGTCCCTCTGCCTTCATGAAGCTCATATTCTTGGAGGATAGAAAAACATTAAATAATTTACTGTGTAGTATGGTGTGATACAATATAAAGGTTAAAGAAGAAGGCTTGATTAACTCTGTATGAGGGAAACTTACAGAAGTTGTAATTCTTGAGCTCAGATTTGAAGGATAGATGGAAGAATCACGTAGATTTATATTTCGGTACCCATGTTTATATATACTTTGAGTGTGGTTCTGAAACTTCTAGCATTTGCAAAACAATGTCCTAGCCAGTACTCATTTGATGATGTTTACATAGTTAGTTCATGCTTACTAGGTTGCTTACCACGGAGTACAAAATATCTTGGTTAGTTTAGCTTTTTTTTTCTGTCTCCTTTTCTCCTGCTTTGCTACCATAGTTTGTGTTAACTACAGTGTTAGAATTTTTTTTTTTTTTTTGGAGATGAAGTCTTGCTCTATCGCCTGGAGTTCAGTGGCGTGATCTCAGCTCACTGCAACCTCCGCCTCCCAAGTTCAAGTGATTTTCGTGCCTCAGCCTCCCAAGTAGCTGGAATTACAGGTGTGTGCCACCATGCCCAGCTAATTATTTTTTGGTAGACACGGGGTTTCACCATGTTGGCCAGGCTGATCTCGAACTTCTGACCTCAAGTGATCCGTCTGCCTCAGCCTCCCAGTGTGGGGATTACAGGCATGAGCCACCACACCCAGCCCTTGAAATGTTTTTATAGAGCAGGAAGAAGGGAACTCAATATTAGAATTTATTTTAAAAATGTTACCTTTACTTATCATGCTGCTTATGTTTCTGGCTTGGTAACAGACTTTGAGAAAGGCCAGGCAGGTGAGTGTTGCTGCTAGGAAGCAGAATGCAGCATTTACATTACATATATTATGTGTGGCATTCTAGGATTGGAAGTGTGTAAGAATAAGGGTAGCCTATGCTCATATTTGCATTCGATCATTGACTATAGGGTGGAGAATGGGCTTAAAGGCAATAAGACTATAGACAGGGAGACCAATTAGTAGACTGTGTGGTAACCTTGGCTAAATAGGTAACCTAGGTTTTGGTGGTGATAGGAGAGCTACATTGATCAATAACTTATTATGTGCCACGTAGTCTTTTAAGTGTTTTGTAATAGTAGGCCATTTAATCCTCAAAACAGATCTCTGAGGTCGGCACTAATCCTGTTCTGTAGGTGAGCAAAGTGAAATAGTAGTTTTCCAAAGGTGAATAGTTAGAAAGTGGTTGAGTCACAGTTTGTACTTGCGTACTCTGGCTTCAGAACCTATACTCTTAACTATAGATTAATGAGATATTTTGAGTATAATAATAGCAGGACCTAGTAACTAGTGAAATGTGGCAAATGAAGCAGGCTCTTGTCTGCTTTCAATACAAGAGAAAGAAAGGGGAATTATCCCACATAACTACAGCTCTAAAATTATACATAGCAATTGGGAGCTACCCTTTGGAAACTCAAGTTTATTTGAGCGTTGAGATGGGAAAATGTTTACAGAGCAAGTTTTAATAGTCCTAACTCAGTTTTCAAATGAGTATGATCTTTTATTTTTTTCCGTTGAGTTACCACTAGAAGTATTTTTGAGTAGCTAACATACATAATTTTTAAATCAGTGATAATCTTGATAGTTGTGGATAATTTGCTGTTTTTTCCTCTGTGGAGATTGCATGTCAGCTTAGATTTTTTTTTTTTAAGAAGTGTCAAGAAGAAGTAAAGTAGTTATATAGTGTGGTATCAAAATGTAATTATATATTAGTTGGAGATAGTTTCCGGATGTAGACAAAATTTGTGAGTTGATATTTTAAGTCCTGAGTTAGTAAAACAAGTTGTTTAACACTAGATAGCCTTTTGTTTGTTTTTGAGAATATTTTTAAAAGGGTTTTAAACAGATTTTATTTTAGACAGATTATAGATCTTAGGACATATTATACTTAAGTTTTTCTCATTCATAAACTTCTACTAGTGATAAGGCAAGCTTTGGATTAATGGTTCAAAATTAGAACATATTAGTCTTTTTTGTTAGCCATCAGAATTATAGTTGTTTAGAAAATTTATTTTAGGAGCAAAAGTGAGTAATTATGTCCTATAAAAATAAGTATGATAATTACTTTACAAAATATTTAATGGTAACAAAGTGTGAGTCAGCTGATTATATAAGGATATATTTACAGAATGTAGATATCAATCTGCTCATCTGAATGAATTTTTTTTTTTAAGTTTCAATTCAGTTAAGTTTTTCTTCGGTGGATGTTTGTGGAGTGCCTACCATGTGTTGAACACTGTGTTGGGTACTGGGAACAAAATTGTTAAGCCAGGCAGGCATCCTGTCCACACCCAGTCTAGGGTAATTCTTACACTATTTGGTGTGTGCATATGTGTGTATTGGTTAAAGGAGATAGGTGGTAGGCTGTCTTGGAACTTTAATTCTACTGATAATCTCAGCAATTATCATTTTCTCTGAGAGATACTTATAAGCAGATGTACAAAGTATACCTAAAGTAGTTATACAGCTTTTGGTTTTCAGTATTTTAATAAGGTTTTCAGGAAGTAGATAAATAAGTTCAAGATGCAAGATGGCATAAATACAGTATGTGTGACATGTGAGCTTTTCTATATTACCAGTAACTTTAGAATAATGAAAATCCAGTTACATTGTGTGTGTGTGTGTGTGTGTGTGCATGCGTGTGTGTAGTGAAATTTCACAATTATGAAGTAGACTACACATTTGACTTTCTAAATTTACAGATAGTAAAGACTCCAGTTTGGTCCAACATGGATTATATCTTAGTTTCCTCCTAACATCCCAAGTGACTACATCTTGATGTTTGCTCTGTATTTGCACATGACTTCCTCTATAATGAGAATCTTCTTCCTAGTCTACTGATCCCCACCCAGTTTGAGGTTATATACTCCTTTGAACCTGAACTCTCTAATTTCTTTTTCATTAGGGGAAATTTATCTTCTTCAAGAGGTTAGCAGTTGGAATGTTACTTTCAGGTATTTGGGAATACAGCTTTTTATACTGTCCATTAACATGATAGATTATCATTGTGTTAACCTTTATTTGTTCCAACCTAACATTTTATCTCCTTTTGTTGATTTATAAATTAGATTGAATAACTGTCCATTTTTAAAATAATTTTTTATTGATACATAATATTTGTTTTATTTATGGGGTACATGTTTTATTTTGTTACATGCATAGAATAAGTAATGATCAAATCAGGGTATGTGGGGTATCCATAACCTTGAGTATTTATCATTTCTAAGTGTTGGGAACATTTCAAGTTCTCTCTTATAGCTGTTTTGAAATGTACAGTACAGTGTTGTTAACTATAGTGAATCTGCTTTAAAACATTAGAATAATTTCTTTTTTCTTTTAACCATATTAAAAGAATCTGCAACGCAGAGTTATTCTCTTCCAGAGCTATATAAAAATGGACTGAACTTAACATTTCAGGTAGTTGGTGTTTCTTAGTTGCCAATTGTGTGATTGCCTAAAATCTCAAAGAGGTTGAGATAAGGGCATATCATGTTGAGTTGTTCACATTGTTATTTTCTGAGAGATAAACTGCCGTTTTAGAATTTTACCAGTTTCACCTGTACTTCAGAAACAAAGTGTTAAAAAGATGGCAAGATATCGAGCTGTGGCCATGCTCTAGGAATGTAACATAGTAAAAATGAATGAATGCTGATATCAACCTAAGTGTGCTGACATTACCCCTAAAAGAGACATCAGTGAGGATTGATTTAGGGCTCAGTTCATGCCTGCAATTAAAAGGATATATTAAAAGATTTGTGATATTATCTACAAAGAGTTTTGACCCATAGAAGAAAAACATAAAATAGTATAAAATATAATTTGTATATTAAACTTATATGTATAAAATATATAATTTGAGTATAAAAATATGTTAAAAAATATTAATTTGTATATAATTAAATTTTAAATTCTCCTAAAATAACTTTTATAATTATAAATAATTCTGTAGATTAGCAGAAGAAACATGGTGTTTAGGGTGAAGAGGTTTGTTTCTTAACTTCTTTGAAATGTTTATTAAATGTGACCTCACATCTGAGCTGTATATCCTTCAAATAACTAAATAGTATCATTTCATGTGTGGCATATATAGTTGCCACAGAATTTTAAGCCAGATTCAAACATGTTTGCTTTTATGTTAGTATAGTATCCTCAATTTTGTAGTTTTGTAGGGTGAATAAGATAATTCAAATTCATTAGTGTATTTCTTATAGGAAAACACAATACATTCCTGTAAGACTGTAGCTACCAGTTTTTAAACCTTAAACATTCTATTGTAGGGATTAAATGCTGTGATATCTCTGAATTTTTATTGGTAATAGAATAGGCGGAATCATAATTACTACTTGAAGATTCTCTAGCTCATGTCTGGCATGAGTATAAAATAAGCTTTGATGATAAATTTAACTTTTCTTTACTGTTAAACAAATTAATCTTAATTTTGTTTTAATTAAACGCCCCCTAAATTTAGTAGCCAAAAATTTTTCCTTTAGTCTCTTGCTTACAGTTGTAGATAATTGTTAGTATAATTACCAGTTTGTGATTAAGTGCTCCCTACTGTATGCTTGCCTTGCTTTCACCTAGAATTTAGGGCCATTACTTTCTGTAACCATTTCAGTGAGCTGCCATAGTTTTCAGTCTGTACTGTCACCTGATCCAAGCATGCGCCAAAATATCCACTGTTTCTGGCTCCTGTATGCTGAATCTGCTTTGCAAACCCTTCGTTCTTTGAGCTTTTGCTTTAGCCAAAAACCAAATTTAACAAGTTTTCTGGAGTGTGGACATATGCCATTTGCTTCCTTAGCTCCCATGTTATGTAACTGTTTAGCTTTGTATTAAACTTGTAAATACTTTATTAAATACAATAATGGCATCCCCATGTGCAATTGTGTGGCTCATGTGTTAAAATAAAGGCTGCTTGTGAATTTGTCAGAAGAATATGAATGCTCCACTTGTGCTGCATTCAGCTTTTTTTTTGTTTGTTTGTTTTTTGAATCAGCCATTTATTCTTTCATAGTGTTTGGTTTAATTATTTGATTATTTTATGTGTTATACTAAGGTAAGTTTAATGTAAATGAACTTTGTATTCTATGTGATATCTCGTAGGAATTGTTATAATATACTTTCCCACTTAGACATGCTGGCCTTTTAAAAATAAATATATGTAGAACTTAAGTAGCTTTCTCCATTTTTTATTAATTTTTAAAACACTGTTTATGGATTACTTTCTGTAAAGTTCATTTTTAAAACAGTAAAGCTACCATGTATGTATTACTTGTGGTACAGATGTAGGCAAACCTAATGTGAGAAAAATCTATTCTTATAAAAACATAGTACATAATTATTTGCTTTAGAAAATAATGTTGTAAACTTCTAGAATGGTTTAAAAAGCAAGTAGGTTTTATTAGTGAGCTTATGAAAAGTTAGACTTTTTATTTCATGCAATTTTTTGGGGAAATAGGTATTTTCTAAACTGAGATACATTTCTGTAGTTATTTGTGATAAGTATTGTCTCAGAATCATAGGTAATTTAATAGATTAGAGCAACCACTTGAATAATAGTTCATCTTATGATACAAAAATTCTCTTTTAGGAAAGGATGATATTAAATGGATGTTCAGATTGGTCCGTAAGTGTGTATGTCTTAGAAGAAAAAGAGAGTATGGATTTGAAAGTGTATTTTTGCTGTTAATATATATACTTCATTTGGGAATATGAAGAAATTCTTTAACACAAGTAGTATTTGTGTAAAATAGGTTCACTTAATTGTTCACACATTTCTTAATTTATAACATTGATTGCTAATACCATATTGTAGTCTTTTCTATTTCTCGTCCTTATTTTATCTTGTACTTTGATGTTTTTCTCAGTTTCCTGAATTCTGCATTTCTTTCTTCTGAAAGAAAGTTTTCAGGTAGCTTTGTCTTGGAACCAAAACTTTAATTCAAGAACTGGCTGGCATCATTTGTAGTTCTGGCTTTTATCTCCTTAATTCTCCCTTTTGCTGATCCTCCTCCCTGTGGAGGAAACAAAAATTTCATCATAGGAATGTGAGCTATAACACGCCTCTTAACCTTTCTTTACTTTGCTGTCTTCACTATTTTACTAGTGAGTATAATTCTACTTATTCTACTAATTTTGAAAAACATATTTTGAAAATCAGATATATACTGCAATTCAAAAATAGAAACTTTGGATTTTTTGGTTTTTAGATTTATTAGTGTCTTTAAATGGAAAATTTACGATGAGAGCTTAGCATTCTATTTAGAGTTGATTTTTTTTTTCTATCTCAAGTTGTTCCCAGATGAGAATTGGCCACAAAAAGAAATAAATTATGATATACTAATTATAGACTTTCTGTTTTTAACACGTTGTACATGAAAAGCTACTATAATTTGCAGCTGCTGTCACCAGTAGTTCGCAGCTAAATGCAAGTGATTAGGAAATATGTGTGACAGATGCTCCACTTACAGTGCTCCATCACAAGCAATATTGGACTTCTCTTTGGTAATAAAATACAATTCTGTGATTCTAAATCATTTTTAAAAATTACAGACCAATACATGGAGTGTTATATCTGAAATTTTTCCTTATATACATTACCAAAGTATTTGAATTAATTTTTTAAGTGTGTTTGCTTTCTTTTTTTTTTTTTTTTTAATTAGTCTCTAATTTCTTGTATTTTGCCTGAAGACCCACATCTCTATAGAAGGATGGCTTACAGATGGCTTTCTCTCTTTTAACATTGACAAATCTTTGCCTTGGAAAGAATCCACAATATAGTGAGTTATAAAAAATAGGTACCAAGAAATGAAATCAGAATTTAAGTTAAATTTATGGATATAACACATAAGGTGTTCACTCAGTGAGGTGAGATGTAGGATATCCTCTTAGTCTAATTCTAAAATTCTAACCATAGCTAAGATAAGAATTTGGAAACTCTGGGTCTACATTTAAAATTATATCTAATCATATATTCCTTTAGTTATCTCTTAAAGTAATAAAGCAAATGCAGATAGGTGGTTTGTTTTCCAGCAATCGAGTTTAAAATGTTAAATCTTATGCCTTTTGAGAAGTAACATTTTAAAGATGGGAAGTTTAAAAACCCATTATAGAATAATACTTCTTTACTTCCCATAGTATGTTTATTTTAAACATTTCATGTTCATATAGATAATGTGCTGTTGAGTAATAAACTGATTTAAAATTTATTTTTCAGATGAACCAGAAACTCGAGATGCATGGTGGGCAGAAATCAGACAAGAAATAAAATCACATGCTAAAGCATTAGGCTGTCATGCTGTAGTGGGCTACAGTGAATCAACTAGCATCTGGTAAATGATAATAACAACTTGATTTTCTAGACACTAATTTAGACTGCCATCTGAAAGGGGAAAAGCTTTATGCAAATAAAAGAAAAGAGAATAGCGAAGTGGTCAGGAGCATGGGCCTTGGAGTACATTAGATTAAGGTTCGTATGCCGTCTTTGCCAGTTAATGACTGTGTAATTACGAGAAAGTTATTTAACTCTTCTGAGCCTCAGTTTGTACATTAAAATGGAGAAAATACCACACATCAATTAATTGTTTAAATCAATGTTAAATGAGAATATAATACTGGCACATAGCAAATATTAACTCTAGGCTTCCTTTATTCTACTGTGTAACTGTATTAACTTCTTTCACTGGAACCTTTGGAACCCTTAATCTACTGTAAATGAATTGCCATGTGCCTTTAAAGTTTGTCCACAAACTCATTCTGCCTTTTACCTACTGTAATGTAACTTTCTCCTGCTAACAAATCATTCTTCCTAATACTGACAAATTAGGGAGGGGCTTTCATACTCTTGGTTCTCAATTCCTTTTTCTCCTTCCCTTCATTTGAACAATCTCCTTCTTTAAAGTACATGCCACTCTACTGTTCCATTATCTACTTCTAAAGCATTCTTTTGCCTATCTTAGTTACTTCTCTGTTCTCTCTTCCAGTTACACATGATTATGTTCATTCTAGCAACTGGCATTATAGTTTCTTATTCTCAAGTCCTCTGACCCCACTTAACTTTCAGCCACATTTTGGACCTCAGTATCACTTGATACTGTTCCTCCTTAAAATTTTGAAACTATAAAATTTTACTCTCAGATCACAACTTAACGTTTTTCTACCAGTATCATTTGCTCTTTTATATCTAGTTTGTTTTGAACCTTACCTTAACCAATTGTTTTCTCAGCCCCTTACTTAGGTTCTGGCTTTTCTTGTTCTTTTGCCATCCTTGAACCCTACTTTCAGCCCCCTCAAAAGTTTACAATTGATATCATCTAGAAACTGTTTAACCTTCTGCTATCTTATTTTTCTACCATCTATTCTTAGATAATTCTTATTGTCAGATCCTCTGCTCTTGTGGTGATCCTTATTGTTAGGGAAAAATGATTAAACTGTAGTAAATGTGGGCATTACAGAGCCATATTATTTAATCTTCTGTGGGCTTTTCTTTTCCTTTGCAGATCATGTGTTATACTCCTGGACTGTTTATTCCCATAGTAGCTGTTCTACTCTTGTTAACTACTAACTTTGTCATGCTTATCTTGCCTTACTCCCTGGTTGTCTTGCCGCATTGATGGATTTAATGTCATAAACTTTCAAGCCTCAGATAAATGATTTTTTTGTTTGTTTGTTTTTGAGACAGAGTTTCACTCTTTCACTCAGACTGGAGTGCAATGGTGTGATTTCGGCTCACTGCAACCTCCGCCTCCCGGGTTCAAGTGATTCTCCCACCTCAGCCTCCTTAGTAGCTGGGATTACAGCTGCCTGCCACCATGTCTGGCTAATTTTTGTATTTTTAGTACAGATGGGGTTTCACCATGTTGGCCAGGCTGGTCTCAAACTCCTGACCTCATGATCTGCCCGCTGCGGCCTCCCACAGTGCTGAGATTACAGGCGTAAGCCACCATACCCAACCAGAGATATGGTTTTATAAAGAAGACATAGTTCTTGGTATCAGATTTACATTCTACTGGATAATTATGATGTAAAATAAATTTTAAAATTGAGATATAGATGCTTTGGGATCCTAGAGGGCTGAAAGCTTGAAGTAGAATTGGAAGAAAGTGTCAATGAAGTAACTGATGCTTGAGTTGGATTTTGGGGGATGAATATGAATTATATAAATAAAAAGAAAAGGCATAGGGAGAGGTTTCAAAGCTTATAAGATGCATTCGACGCTTAAAAGAGTAGCAAAAAAAGGCGGCCACAGAATGTAGACTCAGGATGGCTGAAGATAGGTCACAGTTGGAGGAGTCTGCAAATGAGTTCAGTTAATTTACTTAGAAGTTTGAGTACATCTGACAGAAGCTTTTTTTCCTTTCTAGACCTCAAAAACATCTATGTATTTAAATTTTTACTAATCTTTTCTGTTCCAGCCCATGCTACTTTCTGTTACTGGATTAAACTCTCTGAAATGCACTTCTGCTCTTACAACTTCTTGATTTGAAGGCGTCAGTGGTTTCATGTTATTCCTTCTGACATCCTTAATTCCTACCTACGCTTTAAGCCTGGTGTCCCTTTGTTTATTTACAGTTCAAGTGACTGTTCCTTCCCTGTTCTCTTAGGCTTCTGTTTTATTTATACCTGGTTTTCAGCAGTTCATCCCTAGGTTGCTACTTTTCTCATTTGTTTAGGTTATCTCATTCAATAATTATGTTGATTGTTTAATTTTTTAGCTTTCAAATTGGGTGACATATAAAGAATTTAAAAATTATTTTGAATATCAGTTTTCTGTTATATTGTGATATAGTTTAAGCTTCATTTAGTATATTTTATGTATTGTTTCAGAAACCTTTATAATGATTTAAATTTAGATTAAGCTATATAAATCACCTATATAGAGATATTTAAATAGTTGTGCTTTTAGAATAATTTTAATAAAACTTCATATACATTTAAAGAATATTTTAATATAATTTGATTCATGCTAGATTCAGCAATATAATTTATTACTGCTTATATATTTTGAAACATTTCATTCTTTCAGCCTTGCCATATTTTAAATGAAGTTACTGTCTTTAATATTAATACTTTATTTCAATTTTTAATTTATGAAGAATTCTTGTCCTCCGTTCAAATAAAGTTACCTCTGTTTTCTAGGCTAGGTTTAGGAGTTAAACCTCATAAATATTAATTAATATTTAGTAGAGTCTAACTTGAACTTAAATTGTCACTGTTATAATTATTTTGATAGTTAGCATTTTCCAAAGTTACACTGTCTGAAAAATGTTAACTTATTTGTGTTTTTTCCTTTATAGTGAAGAGGTCTGCATTTTATCTGCATCTGGTACAGCGGCTGTACTGAATCCTAGATTTCTGCAGGATGGCACCGTGGAAGGCTGTTTGGAACAGAGGTTGTCATGGCAGCCTGGCTTATTTTCCATAAGGGCTGAGAAGGGAGAGGTTGACTTTTTTTCTCAGAGTTGGTATAATTCTTCTCTGTAGGGTGGCTTACAGTGGTACAGTGTAGAAATCGGGACCAAGCACTTCACTAATTTTTAACTAACCCATAGTAACAGAGTAGTGTTGGATTCTGTACTATATGGCAAACATTATTGTTTCTAGTATCTTGATAAGTGACATGTGTGATTGCCAGTTGAAGAATTTCAAGTGTACATTTTTTTTTGCTTCGTCATGATATAGAACTAATCTTTTGATTTTTGTCTTCCTTTCATTTCCCTGTGTCTCACCTCCAAAAACAGAGGTTATGAAACAATTTTTATAAAAACAATTCTTAATTTACAAAATAACAAAAGTACTGTATTTTATCAAGATTATCTATAGGTATAATATATATGGTCCTTCCCTGTCCATAGGGAATTGGTTACAGGACCCCTTGCAGATATCAAAACCTGCAGATGCTCAAATCCCTAATATAAAATGGTATAGTATTTGCATGTAACCTATGCACATTCTCCCCTATACTTTAAATAATCTCTAGATTATTTGTAATACCTGATACAATACCTGTTCATCATTTCATTTTCATGGATTCAGTGTAATGCTCAGCACGTGGCAAATTCATTTTTTGCTTTTTGGAATTTTGTGGGATTTTTTATTTTTTTCCTGAATATTTCAACCTGTGGTTGGTTGAATCCATACATGCCAAACCCATGGATACGGAAGGGTGACTGTATATTTAAATATATATACATATATATATATAGACACACACACACATATAAACTATTAGTTTGTTACCAGAGTCTACCTGGATAATACAGATTTTAATTACCCCTTATGCCACAGTGTGCCTATTTACTTCCCCCCCCCAGCCCAGTATTAATATATTAAGCATATATTAAGAAAGGAAGCAAAGGTCAAGTGTGTGGTGGCTGACGCTTGTATTCCCAGCACTTTGGGAGGCTGAGGTGGTTGGATCACTTGAGGTCAGGAGTTTGAGACCAGCCTGGCCAACATGGTGAAACCTCATCTTCACTAAAAATACAAAAATTAGCCTGGCATGATGGCGGGCGCCTGTAATCCCAGATACTCCGGAGGCTGAGGCAGGAGAATTGATTGCTTGAGCCTGGGAGGCGGAGGTTGCAGTGAGCCAAGATGGCACCCCTGTTCTCTAACCTGGGCAACAGAGCGAGACCCCATCTTAAAAAGAAAAAAAAAAAAAAGGCAAAAAAAATTCTGTACCTTGTCAAATTTAGTATAAACTTGCAAGCATTTAAGATATTCTAGTTCTGGTATTCACTAGAGGAACTTGGTCAGTTTCTTTGGTCCGTATTAAAATGGATATTGACTATTATAAATTCCAGAGCCTTAAAGGTCATTGTAAATAGGAAAGTGAAGGCGGGGCATTTTGAAGCACACTAAATAATTAGAATGTTGTGTTGAGAAACTCTCTTTGTCAGTGAGTTGTACCAGTGGTACGATATAGTTCTTACACGTCTGTAGATTTCATTCTTAAGTTGATAGGAAGCCTAATTTAACAAGTAACCTTTTTCATGTAGCTTGTTTTTTTTCTGTATTGTGGCTTGGATGGATACAGTACATTCTCTTATATGGTAGTTCAGTACAATAGGTGCCACCTCTAGTTGTAAAAAAAAAAAAAAAAAAAAAAAGAAAAAAGAAGGAAAATGTCTTTTCTTTCTGCTATGAAATTATTGTTGCTTATTAGAAAAAATTTAGAGAATGTAGGAGAGTAGAAGGAAAAAAAGATTCCTTATGATCTCACTATTCAGGGACAATCCCTGTGTACATTTCATATTTTGAATGCTTTCATAAATTTTAATACTTTTATTTTTATGCCTTATATATACCACTAATGTTGACATTTGTGTGAGCCGTTTAGTTAAAAATTGCTTCAGTTTTCATCCTTTTATACCCCCTTATAACACATTGGCTTTGGATTCAAACAAACTGAAATTCAAACATGAGGCCTGCTACTTAGTGCTTAGTGTGACTTAGCAAGTTATCTCAGGTTGGTTTCAGGCTAAGTGGAACTACTATTTGCTGCTATATGGTGAACATTATACTGTGTTTAGCTATAGTTTTCTTATTTAATCTCTAAAGAAACCCACAAACTTCTCTGGGTACATATTCTAGTTTTATAAAGGAGTTTCTGAGAGGTTAAGTAACTTTCTTGTTCAGGATCACACAGTTCGGTTCAGATGTCTGACTTCTCTGTTAGTTGTAATATACCAGAATGGCATCTTCACAGTAAAAGAATAATATCTGGGAGTAATTTAATGTGAGTTAGAGACTTATGAAGATTCAGTTAAAAATTCTGTAGTCCTAGCTACTTGGGAGGCCGAAGTAGGAGGATCACTTGAGCCCAGGAGTTGAAGGCTACAGTGAACTATGATTGTACCACCACCACACTCCAGCCTGGGTGACAGCAACACTCTGTATCCAAAAAAAAAAAAAAAAAAAGTATGTAAAAAATCTGCAAAAGTCTTGTTTCCTGGTATATATAATACGAATTTTCCTTTACTTTTTAAATCTGTCTGGTTGCCAAGTTTCAGCTTCTAATGGGTTCCTTTAAGTTAGGGAGCATTGAGACCCACATCTTTCCAGAGCTCTGGAGGATCTGGTTGTGTGAAAGTGTGGAGTCTTTTTGTGGAGCTTCTCTCTGTTTCCATCCTTATTGTGCTGACATGCTCAAATTTAATGAACGAAAAAAATGCTTAATCATTTTAGAATGAACTCACAAACAGCATAATACGACAAGCATTTTATAATGAGTGGGGAGGTTGTGGATGGTTCATTTGTGGTTTATGTATATCATTTATGAAATAGATGTTTTGGTTTTTCAAAAAAGTTAAAACTATCACAGGAAGTTAGAAATCTTAGAGTATGCCTATTTTTGACTTACTATTTTTCTTTTTGAATACTTTTTACATTAAATTAAAAACTATTATGCTTGGATTTTGTTTTTCAATTTTTGGGGGTACCTAGTAGCTGGTATATATTTATAGGGTACATGAAAATATACAATTAAATTATTGATTATAGTCACCCTGTTGTGCTATCAAACGCTAGGTCTTATTCATTCTTTCTATTTTTTTTGTACCCATTAGCCATCCCCACCTTCCCTCCAGCCTGTCACTCCCCTTCCCAGCCTCTGGTAACCAAAATATTTTTTTCCTTTGGGAATTTTTTTGTGGTTATATTTGTCAACCAGTGGGAAAATATCATCATCATCATCTAACCATTTTTTTTTTTTTAAATGTTGTATCCCAGAGAAAAAACTTTGAGGTGATAGGGGTGTTTGTCAGGTGATAAGTCATCACACAAATAAATTGGTGCAAAATAACTTTGCAGTTGGTAAGTCTTTTCTCTCATAGGAGAAATGCATGGTTCTGATTTCATGGTCGTTTTTAATTCTTATCAGTCATAGTGGTACTCTTGTAGCCTACAGTGGTAGAAGTTGGATAGTTCGTATACAAGTACTGTGTATGTGATATCACTTACATAATTATTTTTGAAAAAATTTGTATGTTTTTAAAGAATGTCTTTTTTTTCTTAATCTATTTATATAGGCTTGAAGAAAATTTGTCTACACGTTGTGGGTTTTGCCATATACCATATGATGAACTGAATATGCCATTTCCAGCTCATCTCACATATTGCTATAACTGCAGGAAACAAAAAGTTCCTGATGTTCTGTTTACAACTATAGACCTCCCAACAGATGCAACAGTTATTGGAAAAGGTTGTCTTATTCAAGCAAGGTATGTTTGTGAAAACAGCATTTGGTGTCCCTGAAAAAGTATGATATATGGAGCCATAAACCTATTTTCAAGTGTCAGCTCTACAGTTTCCAACCTGTTTGATCCTGCACAAACTGGGCAATTCTGCTGGAACTTTGTATTTTATTGCATGTAAAAAAAAAAAAAAAAAAAAAGATCCTCTGTGTAAAACTCAAATAAGTTTTTATACAAAAGCAGTTTTTAACTTTTAAATTCTATACAAATATTTATCATTCTGGGAATTATTAACCTGCCAAAGGCTAGGGATGTGACTAAGTATAGACTGCTTCAATGACATTCAATATGTAACACATTTTAGAAATTGACTCTCTTTTTTTCTTTTAAAGAATAGTGCCATGAAGTGTTTCTTTTACTGCTTTAATTAGCTGGTAAGAGTTCCTTTTAAAATGCACTGGAGTAGAAAATCCTAATTGAGACACTCATGACAACAGCTGCCAGGTTACCAAATCCATCAGGTACTTCTGTCCTCATCTTAGTTCTGACATCTCAGCAATAGTGACAGCATTATTTTCGCCTTGAAATTCCTTTGATTTCATGATGCCACACCTTCTATGTTTTCCTACCTTTATGTGTAATCTTCAGCCTCCTTGTTGACTTCTCATTTCTTGATCTTTGAGAGCCGTGGATTTGGACCCTTTGCTCAAAGCTCTCTCCCTAGTTGAACTCATCAACTTATATAGATCTATATGCTATCTATGTATCTGTGACTGCCAAATTTATAACTCTAGTCCAGAACTTTCTTTTGAGCTTTAGACTTATATACCTGTCTACTTCTATCCCATTTTGATAAGCCATAGGCATCTCATACTTGTTCCACGTTGAACTGCTGATTTTCTCCACTTTTCTTATTAGCCTTTTTTGTTTTAATGGTACCTTTATCTAGTTCTTCATGCCAAATTTGGTATTCTTTGACACTATCCTCTTTTTCAACCTCCCTACATCAAATTTATTACAAAGCCCATTGATTTTTCTTCTAAAATGTATTTCTAATCCATTTATTTTTTTCCCTCTTGTATCTTAGACCTTCCATTTGGGATTGTTTTCCTTTTGCCTTAAGTGTGCGCTTTAGTATTTCTTTTGATGGATCTGCTGGTAGTGAACTATTTTTTTTTTTTTTTTTGGTCTGTCTGAAAAATGTGATTATTTTACTTTTATCTTTAAAAAATATTTTGGGCTGGCAGCTGTTTCTTTACAGCACATTGAAGATACTCTTTCACCACTGTCTTCTGGCTTTCATTGCTACTGTTGAGAAATAATCTATTAGTCTATTAGTCTTTGAATATAGCCTATGTGGCACAAAGTAGATGCTCAAGTGACTTTTGTATTTTTTTAATGAGTAACATTTTCTTCTGCTTTCCATTTATATTGAACACATGCAGTTATAAAACCTAAGATTTTAAATGATATTCTCTACTGATTTTGGTCATTATTTCATTTTTAGAGATTTTCAGATTTTTTATTGTTTACTGAAATATGGTTCTTTAAAATATTTAATTTTTGTGGGTAAACAGGTCTATATATTTAATGAGATACATGAGATACTTTGATACAGGCATGCAATGCATAATAATCGCAACGTGTAAAATGGGGTATCCATCCCCTCAAGCATTTATCCTTTGTGTTAGAAATAATCCTGTTATACTCTTAGTTATTTTAACTTGTACAATTAAATTATTGTTGACTGTAGACACCCTGTTGTGCTATCAAATACTAGGTCTTACTCATTCTTTCTGTTTTTTTGTACCCATTATGAAATAGGATTTTTAGTGCAAATTTATACAATGACAAAAAAACAGAAAAGTTTATTGATATAACTCAGTAAGTCCATTAAAAACAAGTAAATGTTTTATTCAGCACACTTTTAGAAAGTTTTAAAAATTGACATTTTTAAAGATGGTACCAAGAATACTGTTCACTGACTTATTTTCATTTACAGGTTATGTCGCTTAAAAAAGAAAGCACAGGCAGAAGCAAATGCTACAGCTATCAGTAATCTGTTGCCATTTATGGAATATGAAGTGCATACTCAGCTAATGAATAAACTAAAACTCAAAGGAATGAATGCTTTGTTTGGACTAAGAATTCAGATCACAGTGGGTGAAAATATGTTGATGGGCTTAGCGGTAAGTTTAGATGTTTTTGGTTTTGTTTTATGATTTCTTTAATTATAGTAGATTCTATTTTATGTGATTCAAAGAGTCTTTTCAAAGACTTATCTAAAGACTTTGACATTAAGACCTTTATGGGATGAGGACATTTTAAGAAGTGAAATATCTGGTGATGGGTTTTCACATATTTTAAAGGGACTGTGATCATAACTTTAATAATTCTATTTCTAAAAGTTACCATTTGTCACTTGCTTAATAAGTTGTCCACAGTTTTTCTGGACTTTATTATTGTTTACATATTGCTAAAACAGGGTTCCCCCATCTCGGTACCAGGGCAGGATACCTCTCTGTTGCCGGGAACTGAGTTGTGCTTTGTAGGATGCTTAGCAGCATCCATGGCAACTCCCCACTATAAGGTAGTAGCATCTCCCCAGTTGTGACAATCAAGAATGTCTTCAGAAATTGCCAAATGTCCCTTAGTGGGCAGAGCAAAATGACCCCAGGATGTGGATTAATCTTTAGTTTTGATGGAGAAGATAAAGCAAAACATGTGAGACACTATTAGACAGACAATTAAGCTTTATCATAAATGTGCACCTGTGGCCAGTGGTAGACTGTGTAATAAAATACAGGTGTTTCTGGCCAGGTGTGTTGGCTCACACCCATAATTCCAACACGTTGGGCGGCTGTGGTGGGAGGATCACTTGAGCCCAGAAGTTAGAGCAGAATGGGTGAGACTACTCTCTCTATAAAAAAATACTAAAAATTAACCAGGTGTGCTGGCAGGAAGCTCAGGTGGGAGGATCACTTGAGTCCTGGGAGGTTGAGGCTGTAGTGAGCCCTGATCATTTCACTGCGCTCCAACCGAGGCGACAGAGTGAGACTCTGCCTAAAAAAAAAAGGTGTGTTTCTTAAGTGCTGATGAAATACAAGAGAAGAAGAAACAGCTGTGTCTTAGCTTAAGGTTCATTTTGGCTTGTTAGCAAATAAATTCAGACTGGAAAGATGATAATGAGGAAAGCCAGTGCTGCTTCTGTAAGTAGTGTAGGACTCAGAGAACCAGGTGCCTGCAAAATGTGTATTGATCATATGGAATCTGATGAACTATGTTTATGGAAATTCTCTCGTTTTCTAGGTACTTTGCTAACCAGCATTTTGTCTGTGTTACTGGCAGTTTTCAAATTTAAATTCTCTTGCCATCTTTTTGAGAATACCTAGACATTTAATTTTAAGAAATTTATGGAATTTGGCTTTTTTGTCCCTATACATTTGCAGGTCGAATGCACATTTGTTCCCTGTTTCATCTTTCTCTAAGAGCAAATATGTAAATTTTTGTACGCAGAGGATAATTGTATGATGATGATAAACTAATTAGGTATTAACAGTTTTCTAACAACAGAAATTTGTAATAAGTAACTTGGTTCATATTAAAATATTTGATATTTAGGCTGGGCATGGTGACTCATGTCTGTAATCCCAGCACTTTGAGAGGCCGAGGTGAGTAGATCGCTCAAGCCCAGAAGTCTGAGACCAGCCTGGGTAACATGGCAAAACCCCATCTCTACTAAAAATACAAAAATTACCCAGGCATGGCAGCTTGTGCCTATAGTTCCAGCGACTTGGGAGGCTGAGGTGGGAGAATCAGCTGAGCCTGGGAGCTTGAGGCTGCAGTGAGCCGTGATCGTGCCACTGCCCTCCAGTCTGGGGACAGAGCGAGACCCTGTCTAAAAAAAAAAATTCTCTTTTATACTTAGAGTAACTTGGGGAAAAGTAGTTATTTTAATTCAGTGGTCTAAAAATTTGTATGCTTAGTGAGGACATTACATAAATGTATAATTTGTGCTTGATGCAAGACTGTAATGATTGGTGGGTGCCTATGCATGTCAATTAAGAGCTGGATTCAGATTGAGGGGTTTAAAAAACATTTTGCTAGCTATAGCAAACATTTTTGATGATCGAGTCCCAGGAAACTAGTTTATGACACTGATGTAATTCAAGACTTGCCTCCAGTATTGCTTTTCTGATTCTTACTAATCTTTTCCTTCTTGATCACTGGTGCTATTAACTACCACGGTTTGACATTTCATCTTCGTGCTTTGTTATAGTTTGTGCACTTAAATCGTGAAGTCTCAAGAGTAGCTTCTTTATGGGGTGATCTCTGATGAGTGCCGACTAGATGTTCGGCACTGTGCTGTTCCAGAAGGAATGTGATATTATCTTCACTTTACAGGAGGAGAAAATGTGTGCTGTGATAGATTGAGATTATAAAGTGATGTGGTTACATGTGTTAGAACTGGATTTCAAATCCAGACCTATCTGATGCCAGAGTCTGTGTTCTCAGCCGTTCAGGGCTGTTGCTTCATTAATGAGGAGCTAAAACGCATTACAAGTGGTGGACTAAGGCTTCATATGGCATGGCGGAGGGGCGTTCCCTGGTTGAGTATTAGAGACTTGGTCATGTATACAGTGATGGACACTAATGAACAAACCAGGAGTAAGCACTCTTGAGGAACAATTTCATCTACTATGCAGACTTCTTCATCAATCCCTTTTTAGGATTGGTGTTGAGTTAAAAGAGTTGTCTTTTCTCTTTCCCATTCCACCCCGTTGACGTTAACAATTTGATGTTTATACTTCTATTTTTTTGCTTTGCTTGTATTAGCATATTTACACATAAGTGCACATAAGGATATATATAAATGTTACCTTGTTTTGTATTTCTCATAATAGTTTTCCAGTAGTAATGATATGTAGTACTGTTTCAGAGTCAGATATTAAATAGTAATTTAATTAGATGATATTTAAAATAAATCTGTATCAAGTAAAAAATTTTCTCTGCTAATTAGGAAGGTAGGGCAATATAGTGAAATAAGTTTGGGTTTTGAAGTGAGAAACACTCAATTTAAATCGTTTGTCTACATTTACTGACTTGACTTGAGTAAGTTCCCTGTCCTTTCTGAATTTCAGTCTCTTGCCTTGCAAAAGTTTCCTCTTTACTTTTGCCACCTTTAAAGATAGAGCGTCTGCTCATTCATGAAAAATTTGTTTTTTAGCAACCTTTAATATTTTTTTGCTATTTTTAATTCTAATTGTATTTTTTAAAATGATGAGGTAGGTCAGGGCCCAGTGGCTCACACCTGTAATCCTAGCACTTTAGGAGGCTGAGGCAGGTGGATCAGTTGAGGTCAGGAGTTGGAGACCAGCCTGGCCAACATGGTGAAAACCCATCTCTACTAAAAATACAAAAATTAGCTGAGTGTGATGGTGGGCGCCTGTAATCCTAGCTACTCAGGCGGCTGAGGCAGAAGAGTCACTGGAACCCGGGAGGTGGAGGTTGCAGTGAGCCAGGATCGTGCCACTACACTCCAGCCTGGGCGTAAGAGTGTGACTTGGTCTCAAAAAAAAAAAAAAAAAAAAAAAGATTGTGAGGTAGAAACATAAATATAGTTGGGTATGTAGTGAAAAGTAAATCCCCATTTCATAACTGTCTCCCACCTATCCAGGGGCCTCCCCAAAAGAAACCAACCCTTGTTACCAGTTGTTTTTGTGTGCCTTTCTAGAGATGTCCTATATATACCCTGATGCTGATTATATTCTTCCTTATACGACATTCTTGGTTTTTGTTTGTTTGTTTGTTTGTTTTTTCTTGTTTTGAGACAGTCTTGCTCTGTTGCCCGGGCTGGAGTGCAGAGGCATGATCTTGATTCACTGCAACCTCTGCCTTCCGGGTTCAAGTGATTCTCCTGCCTCAGCCTCCTGAGTAGCAGGGATTATGGGTGCACACCACTACACCCAGCTAATTTTTGTATTTTCAGTGGAGACGGGGTTTCACCATGTTGGCCAGGCTGGTCTCGAACTCCTGACCTCAAGTAATCTGCCTGCCTCGGCCTCCCAAAGTACTGGGATTACAGGTGTGAGCCACTGCACCCAGCTGTTGACCACATTCTTAAATATGAAAACGTAAGGACTGTTATTCTGTAGATATTTTTTCTGATTATTTCGCCATTATTTTTTACAAGTCTGCCACAGGTGTATATTTAGCAGCTTTACCAACCCCTGGTGGTATTCAGATTGCCGGGAAGACTCCTAATGATGGCTCATATGAACAACACATCTCCCATATGCAGAAGAAGATAAATGACACAATTGCTAAAAACAAAGAGTTATATGAAATCAATCCTCCAGTAAGTAAAACAAACCTACATTGTGAATATATTAGTTATTATTTATTAGTATATTTTTAGGTTATCTTATTGAGGACATAAGATTTTTTTTTCACTGTTTAGATTAGCTTTCCTTATTACTCATTCTTTCACCTCCCTTTCTGTCTTTGCTCAACTGTCTCCTTTTCGGGTAAGCCTACTCTAACCATTCTATTTAAAAATTATGACTTCATTTTTGGCACTTCCTATCACCTTTCCCTCTTTTATCGTTTTCTGTAGCTCTTATCTTTGTGAGTGTGTTTGTGTTTGTGTGTGTGTGTGTTTTATTGGTCTATTGCCTGTTAGTACCAGTAGAATGAAGCTCCATGAGGGCTTTATTTCTATTGCCTAGAAAAGTTTCTCTTGGTATTAGTCTCTTAGTATTTGTTGAGTGATGAAATAAATGGTTTAAAATGTTCTTTGTTAGTAAAAAGAGATTCTTATCGGTGGTAAAAATGTGAAAGAATACAGTTTTTCAGTTACAGTTTCTTTTTTTACAAGTTTGCTCCCAGTCATTTCCTTTAATCAGTCTTTTTACCAACTTTGCAATAAATATCACAATGCTTCCTCCTCTGTGGATGCCTAATGGCAGTAGTCTGAGTTGAAAGAAAAATGTGTTGGAGTTAGAATGAAACTTTTTGTTTTTATGAGTCTCTGATAATAAAATACTTTCACAAAAGGAAATTATAACATCGTTGTTGTTTTTATTATTTTAAATGTCTTACCTAACTGGCTGATCTTCTGGAACAGTGTGTCTGGATTGTTGCATCACAAGTATAGCTTTCATCGTATTATTCTAGTATAGTTGTTAATTTGGGAGGAATTTTAAGGATATGACCTAGAGCTGCACTGTTCATTATTCACTGTGGGAGCCACTGGCCACATGTGACTTTTGAGCACTTGTGACTAGTCTGAATTGAAATGTGTAGTAAGTATAAAATATACACTGGATTTTAAAGATTTATTGTGAAAAAACTGTGTAAAATATGAATATTTTTGTATTATGTGTCAAAAATTTAATATTTTGGATATACTGAATGAAATAAAATGTTTTATTAAAATTGATTTTATCTATTTCTTTTTACTTTATTATGTATGTGGCTTGCTTTATATTAGTATTGAACAGTACTGACTTAGGGCTTCTTTAAAATGAATACAAATGTTGATGTGTTAACATATTTATATTTGAAAAATAGACTGTAAAAGTTCTTTGTGCACCACTTTACTGACGGCTTATTTTTATAGTACATTATTTTTATTTGATAGTTATATTTTGATATTTGAACATCTGTTTATAGTCTGCCACTTGGGAAAAGTGATTTGTAAAACTTTGTGTTAGGGTTTCATATATTCTTCATTTATTATTTCTAATGATATGAGCTGAACTCTTTTACTTAACAGAGTTTCTTACCTCTGTAAATCCATCCTGACCTCCCACAGGGAGAGTGGACTCTTCCTCCATTGTGTACTTGTTGTACCTGTATGTACTTGTATAGAAACTGTTACATATTATTATACTTAGTTTTTATATATCTGTCTTCCTTTACTGTAATGTAAGGTCTTTGGAGACTGGGATGTATTTAAATAAGAATATGAATTAAATTACTTCATCCATTCAGTACTTACTGAGCTGCTACTGTGTGTCACACAGTTTACATTTAGAAGGAGGGAGTGAATCTATTATGATTTTAAAAATTTTAGTATATATGAATTTCATGTGTTGAGGATGACTGTATTTTCACAACAGTACTCATCAGTTTATGAATCTTCTAATATGTCTTTCCTTATTGTAGATACTGACTACATTATAGTCTTTTAGCATAATCTCTTAGCATTTGTTTGACAGAGTCAGTATACAGGGTTGATTACCAGGCCACTATATACATTACAGTGTTGTGTTATGTCCACCCTGAATATGTGGATCAGGGTGTTCCTTCTCTTGGGATGATAGCCCTCAATGAAATAAATGCTGCTGTTTGAATTTTTTCTCAATACATTAAAAAATGTTTCTAATACAGAGGTGTAGTACCACTTAAGCTTTCTGTAGATAATCAAAGGTATCAAAATAAGATGCATATCTCTTGGAATAACAGTACTAGTGATGAAATTTCAGTATGAGTATAGAACGTATTAAATACCAGACAGTTATATTTATTAAGTCTGTGGCATTGTGAACAAAGGCATAACAGAATTTAAAACTACTGTAAAATTATAAAAAGTTGTGTGGTATCTAATGGGAATAACGTTGCACTGTGTATCAAAAGACTGATCTAGACTGGCTCTACACTTTCTAGTTTTCAGATCTAGGCAGACTACTAATTTACTTCTGAATTACAGCTCTTTTCCATTTTGTAGTCATTATAATGTTAACTTTATAGAGGGCAGATTAATTTGGAGTACAAATAAGATAAATGGATGTGAAAGTGCTCCATAGATCATTACATTGTGAAATTGTGCAGTGGTAGCCTTTTATCTAAGGTATGTACTAGCAATGAACATTTAAAACTATATATTTTTGAAGAACTTTATGTACAATTTCCTTGTTTATTAAAAAGACAACTCTGTTGCATCAGCAATAGGCTATGCCTTTTGCTTTTGTTTTCACATATTCACATTCTTCCAGCATTCATTGTGGCCAACAGGTGCTTAGAACCTCTAGCAATCTTTGGCTATGTAACAGCAAAAAGCTCACTAAGCCATACAGTAGTGCACCATACATTGACCTTAAAAGGATCATTGTTGTAACTACCAAAGTTTATTTAGCTTAATAAATAACAAGTACGTGCATAGTATATGTATATATGTATTCATACTCATACATTGATCATATTCCACGTTTTGCTATGTGGAGCTTTGAAAAATTACCAGTGGATAAGAAAAGATATAAAAGATTAGAAATCTTTCTAGGAACGTAAGTCTTTAAATTTTTATGGCCTATTAGGACTTTCATAATGCTGAATAGAAAATATGCACACCCAGGAGTACTGGATTTCTGGGCTGTAAGGACTGCCAATTCCATACACATTGTAGTGTCCTGTGTGTACACTGGATGTCAGTTTTGTCTTGTTATGTCTGTGACAGTTATATATATTTTTCTGATTCATGTATCATTAAGGCTGCCATATCCTCGTATCATTAAGGCTGCCATATCCTCTATAAAAGTTTAGTTATAAAGGTTATACTTAAGTACAGACTTCACTGAGTATAGTTTACAGGCTTTTTCTCCACAGCTAGGTGTCTACTAATATAAAGATATAAAATTTAAACTGGAAAAGACAATCTCATTTAATATGAAACAATTATATTTCTTTTAGGAGATATCTGAAGAGATTATAGGATCACCCATCCCAGAACCTAGGCAACGCTCAAGACTTCTAAGATCTCAATCAGAAAGCTCGGATGAAGTTACAGAATTAGACCTTTCACATGGGAAAAAAGATGCTTTTGTTTTGGAGGTAATGTCGCATTGGACTAATTTCTTAAAGGTTTTGGAAGCTAAGATACACATTTTTTCAGATGCTAAATTAATATACTTTTATATCATTGCAACTGTTATAAATATTTAAAAAATTAGTATATAAATTACAACAAACTTGAAAATAACAGAACTTGGTAACATATGTTTGTTCAATACCAGGTGACTGATATAATAATGCAGATGGTTCTGAAAAAGTTAATGTATGGGTTGAAATAATGATACAATAGTATTAAACCTTTGAAGTTATTTTCATAAACTTGAATGAATTTAAATAAGAAATTAAAGTGTCATTCTTTAACTTACTATAATTATTACTTTTTTTGTATGTTACTGTAGCTAGAACATTTTTTAATATAAACACTGTGAATTCTGAGTGTAGTATTTTCTTACCGAATTCAAAAGGTATAATTGACCCATCTTTATGAAAAGATACTCAGAACACTTTAGGAACTTTCCCAGAGAGTAAATATCACATGAAAAGTTGATGGAGACTCCTTCCTCCTAGATCTGCCTCCTCTGCACTCCCCTGTAGAATGGTTGGCTCCCAAAGAGAGAGATTTTTCTTTTTCATATCGAAGGACAGGAAAAATAAATGAGTAAGATGTAAATTGAGAGAGAAAAAAATCAGATGCTTTGATCTCAGTGTAGCAGGAAGCTGGTGGTAGAATAGTGTTGGGATGAGATTGGAGGTTTAAAGAGTCAGGAACAGTGCCAGTGGCTGTAACAAGGATCTATGAGAGACGCACAGGCCTATCTAAGGTGAGAGTGTCAATTTGTAGAAAACCCAACGTATATGGTTATTTGTCCCCCACTTTTTCCCCACATTTCTCTACAGTCTGAGAATGGAAAATATGTTATGGAAAATATGCCAGGTCAAGGAGGCTAAAAGTTCCAGGGTACTATGTAGAACAATGCTGCCCAAAGTGTGATGTAACTACTTGTGGCGTCAGCTCTACCTGGGAGCTTGTAAGAAATGCAAATTCTTGGGCCCCTACCTCAGACCTAGTAGATGAGAATTTAAACGTGGAGCCCAGGAATCTGTTTAACAAACTTTCCAGGTGATGTCAAACATTACCTGAAGTTTGATCTAGGGCATTATTGATATGTCTGATCTTGGGATCCTGGCTAAGTAGAGAGGCACATGAGAACAAAGTGCTTCAAACATGGGCAGAGGACAGAGGGCAAGTAGAAGATCCAGTAAGAGAGGACAAAGAGACAGGACTGTAGTTGGAGAATGCTCGAGATCCTGGGTGTGGAGCATTTTGGGGAATAGTGGGTTGAGGTATGACTGTGACTGTGGGTAGCCACGTGAAGTGGAAGTGAAAGTGGTTCTTGAAGTCTTGAGGGTGATGTGGGAAGAAGAAGCTTAGCAAGTCTGCAGATTAGGACTTAGAAACTGAGATGCAGATGAATGTCAGCACCTGTCCAGCTGGGTAGTTTCCCTGTTTATTATTCACAGTGGAATACGGTGATATAAGAAAAATAGAATTTAGACCTATTTATTTTATTAGAAAAATAGAATTTAGACCTGTTATTAAATATGTCTTTAAATTTATCTCTGCCTAATTCCATTGTAAAGCAGTTCTGCATTTAGTCAAAGGATTTGATTACACTTTATTAATTTAAACAAATTGGAATAATGATTGCTTATGACATCTTTGTAAGTCTTTAGAAACATATTCTCATAAAGGTTTGAGAAAGAGCTAGCTTTCTTTTTTAACTTAGTGTACTTTGTATGTAAAATATTTCACTTAGAAGTATTTGTGGTTATTACTGTGGAGGAATTTACTGATACTAGAATTTTCTTGTTACATATTTTTCCTTACGGAAAAATGACTCTGCTTTTTCTTGACTCTATTAATAAATAGTCTTTTTAATGTGAAATAATTATGCATTTACTACATATATAATAGTTTTATTCTCTATTTTAAGATTGATGACACAGATGCCATGGAAGATGTCCATTCTCTACTTACTGATGTTCCTCCTCCTTCAGGTGAACAAAAAAATTACCTTTGAGATGAAACTACTTTTATATATAAATGTTTTAGCTCATAATTGTTACAGTACTAATTTTACTTTAAAGGAAGGACTTACCACAGTGTCACAGCTTGTCATGTACTTTGCTACTCCAAGGTAGAAAACATAACTTAGGTGGAAGTGATTTTTAGTCCTTTTATATTTATACATGGAAAAAAAAAACCTATGATAATTTATTAGGATGGTTTAAAGTCTCCTGCAGGTATAATTTTAGAAGAAAAAAAATGAAGGGTTTTATAGTTAGAACTTCATGTAATAATTGAAAAATGTCATTTAACACAAAAATCAATGGAATATTATTATATATTTTGATTATAATTTATTTTGACAGGCTTTTATAGTTGTAATACAGAAATTATGCCCGGTATAAATAATTGGACATCTGAAATACAGGTAAACCTTTTTTTCTTAATTTTAAGCAAATAACACATAAGTTATCTTAATAAGTTCCATCTAAATATTTGTTTTTTGTTTTTTTTTAACCTCCTTATTGCAATTAAAATACTATCCTTATTCTACTACGTTAGTTAATATTGTTCATTATTTGGCAATTTATCAACTGTTAAAATATTTAGTTAAAAATAATAAAATGACATGTTCTGTCACCCCACATTTAGATGTTCACTTCAGTAAGAGTAATCAGATTAAGCAGCCTCAACCTGACTAATCAAGCTCTCAATAAGAACTTTAATGATCTCTGTGAAAATTTGCTCAAGGTAGGAACCTTCTGACTAAATTTTATTTCATGCGTCTAAGATAATGAAACTTTAAAAGTGTCTATATTGCTGTATTACCTGTAATACTTTACAAAGTTGTGGGCTGAATCACTCCTACCTCCTTATCTTACCTCTGTCAGCAGGTGAGATACTAAAGTTGTCCTGTCCCCCTTACTATATCATACTATAAAAGAAATAGTTTGTTAGTTAATAGCTTTAACTTCCGTAAAAATCTAGCGTATATGTGTACATTAAAAAAAACTTACTATATTGTTTTTTGTGACTTACTGACAAATGATTAAATCTTATTGTCTAATTAAATATTAAAAAGTATATCCTTAGTGTAAAAATACACAAAAAAAAGTGGACCAGTTTTGTTTTAATTTTTTTTAACTCTCCATTTACTATAATATAATGTACATTAAGAAAATCAGCTTTTATAAATTTTTAAATAAAAAAGGTGACATTACTAATATTTTCTATTGTGTAGAGCCTGTACTTTAAACTACGATCTATGATCCCCTGCTGCCTTTGCCATGTAAATTTTACAGTATCTCTGCCTGAAGATGAATTAATTCAGGTAATTAAGATTTAGTCCATTATTAAAGAATAGTCTTTATCTGATCTATTATTTTTATTATCTATTTCATTATCATAATTTTGCCATAATTAAGTAACTTATACTAGTTTCCCTCAGAGTATTACAAAATATATGTTAGTATGCATTAGGCCATGTGTGTTTCTTTTTCTGAACTTTAGTTATCTGAGGGAGTAAGTGCACGTAAGCTCCAGCATGTGTACAGTAGGATCTGTACCCATCATGTGGGATTTTACCAGTTCCCATTTTTTAGAGAAGGTTCTTCAGCTCTTTCTGGAATATCGAGATTTAGATGTAACTGTTTGGCATAGTTGTAGTTTGTGTATCTGAATTTATATATAATTCTGGTTGAGGATTTTAACCAGGAAAGGTATTTGGTATAGGTTGTACCATGGTACTGAAAAAAATACGTAAGAAACTTAGTTTTGGCAGTGATTATTTTGCTAACCATATTGTTTCTATAATTCTAGGTTACAGTCACGGCAGTTGCAATAACTTTTGACAAAAATCAGGCTTTGCAAACCACAAAAACCCCTGTTGAAAAGTCGTTGCAAAGAGGTAAATCTTTACTGGATAGGAAGTTCGGTTTGTGTTTGTCTGTGTTATGGTTCAGTGATAAAATATACAGGACAGGTGGATTCAGTAAATTACTTGTTCCTTGAAGAATATTTGCTGCTTTTTCTGTTCATCTTTGTGAAGATAACTGTGTGGATAAGCATATGGCTGATTTGATATTTTTCATACATGACTAGGTGGTATTTGACTGATATTTACATAGGGAATGCTGCTGGGTTTTTTAGACTTAAATTATAGCATACTAATTCTGCAGTAATATAAGGGTTTCTGTACTACGATCTCTGGCAAGGTCTTCAAGGCATCTGAGGACCTACTGATGTAGTAAGCACAATTGTGTGCCTGTGTATTATTTTCAGGACAAGTTCCATAGTGTTCAACAGATTCACAAAGGTGGCCTTAATCCAGTAAAATTTAGAAAGTAATATTCGTGACTTTTTAATGATCGCCATTCTAACTGGTGTGAGATGGTATCTCATTGTGGTTTTGATTTGCATTTCTCTGATGGCCAGTGATGATGAGCATT